CAGAGAGGCCGCAAGAGGCCTGCCGGCTGCCGAGAGGCTTTTGAAGCCGGTCCAAAATGCCTCACGTTGCCTTCGGAAGCCCATAAGAAGAGAGGAGGCAGGCTTCGGACAGGCCACAGAGAGGCCGCAAGAGGCCTGCCGGCTGCCGAGAAGCTTCGGACAGGCCACAGAGAGGCCGCAAGAGGCCGAAAAGCTTTTGAAGGCGGTCCAAAATGCCTAAACGTCGCCTTTGAAGCCCATAAGAAGAGAGGAGGCAGGCTTCGGACAGGCCACAGAGAGGACGCAACAGGCCGGCCAGCTGGTGAGGCCTCGGACAGGCCTTTGGAAGTGCTTGGAAGGGTTCTGCTAGGCTTGGCCAACTGCTGCATCCTGCGCCTTTGGAAGTGCTTGAAGGGTTCTGCTAGGCTTGGCCAACTGCTTCACCCTGCGGTGTCCCAGGCGCCTCCCCGCCTAGGCTTTGGCTATAGGCCGGGGTCGGCGGATATTATATATGTCTTTTGTTGGTGTTCCATCTCAAATCGTCCCCCGTCCATTCTACAGCTTCAGGGAGGTCCTTGGGGTTGGTGTCCACTGAGTCCACCTCGAAGCAGTCACCCCACTGCTGAGGGCATGGAGATGGATGGGGCGGGGCGGATCCTTGCAGCTTCAGTCACGTCACCGACGGCTGGATTTGTTTTTTGGATGCGACAAATTGGCCCGTATTTGGAGTCCAGTGCAGAGGCGGTACTTAGTTTGTGGCATTTACTGGTCTAATATTGAAACTGTTGAATCTCATACAAGTGTCATCGTATTTCGCACTACTGGTTCCGTGCTTGTTTTGTCTACTCCTGTTCCGGCTGTGCCAAGAGTGCTGTTAAAAGCATGGAATCTCTTTGCCAGGTCTGATGGGGCGTCCAGTGATTCTGCGTCTTCAGCAGGCGGTGGCTCCTTCGCCTGGAGCACAGAATGCAAAGATCGACAGATACAGACAACCAAAAAGAAAAGCATGATTGGCGGGTGACTTGCCATTGTTGAGATTGAAAGAGTGACGTGTCGTATTGGTGTCTCATGGTGTCTCCATGGTTGAGGCGTTGCCGTCTTCGATGTGGTTGGAGCCTAGATGTTGTGTGGACTTTGGGTGTTCAGTCTCGGTATGCTACTGTATGCATTGATTGAACAATATTGATGATATGATGCAGTCTCCTCTCCGACTCTTGCTTCAAAGCTTCATGGTCAGCGCTTGTCAAGGTCTGGCGTGACATACTCCGCTGCGTCATCCGCATCCACAGTGACCGAGGACCGCATCCACGATGCGTCAAAACGGCACAATTCTGAGCACCCGCCGTCACCGCAGTGCAGGACATGCTCACCCATCGCCGGCCTCTTCTAGAGGGCTATGCGCACGCTTTGAGACCTCTGCCTAGGATCCTAGATCTTAGATGGGGAATGTGGTCAATGTATTCGTCTGAAGTGGGCTGGGCATTCTCAGACCCAGCGCGGCACTCTTCGCTTCGCACGTGTTGACCTTGCTAAGGTTCATGACTAGAGGAGACATCACACACCTCTTGTCGAAATTTCCCCATCAGGCAGGGCAAGTCGTTCTGCTTCCTTCCAATGTGGCTGCGGGGCAAAGCTATTTGGACATGAGCCCTCACGTGTGTTTTTAATGCATGACACTGATTTTGAATTACAAGGGTTTGGTTGCATTGTGCTGCAAGCTTTTTCTGGACTTTTTTTTTCCTCACACACATTCATATTGATACTTTGGCAGCCCTTTGGTGCCGATCAGGTTCTGCTGGGTGGCACAAATTGCGGCCGCCAATTCGCAGCACATCGGGCTTGTCTGGCCAAGGTTATTTCAATCGTCTGAGTGAACATGAGAGAGAGAGAGAGAGAGAGAGAGAGAGAAAGATAAAGAGACAGAGAAAGAGAGAAGGGAGGCCAACCTAATTGTAGTGGCCTCCAACCTACTAGCGGTGGCCTCCAGCCTCCAACCTAAAAGCGATGGCCTCCAATTTAAGAAGGAGAGAGAGAGAGAGATATATATATATATATACAGATACATAGAGAGAGAGAGAGAGAGCGGGAGAGAGAGAGAGAGAGTGCCGCGCGCATCTGCGCTGCTGGCTCGAAGCAGCTGTCCACGCCACCAGCCACTTCCCATGGCGTTGTTGCTGCATCCAGTGGCGTGGATTGCAGCTCGTCTAAGCCCGTTGGCAGAAAGAGAGGGTCCATGCCATGCGAGCGCATTTCATTTCACTCACAACTCCCCGCGCAACAGATCATCGTGTATTTATGGTGCAAGTTGGCCTTCATTTGTGTTCTAAGGTCTTGGCACAGATCCCCCAGGCAAGCGCACTCTCCAAATACCAAGGGCCAAAGCCGCCCTGGCCATACAAGGTGAGGGCTGGATCGTGGGAATCGAGACACGTTGGATTTGCCATGACGAAGATCGAACGCCAGGGCTTCACGTCTTTTCCGGCCTTCTATTTTGGCGCCAATGAGAGCGGACTGGAGCCTTTGTTTGAAATCGCTGCTTTGAAAGCGAGAGTTGCGGCTTCGTTCTACCATTGGGTTCTCAGGAGAATGCTTCCTGGCTGCCCTTTGTGGCGCAACATCAAGTGGCTGGCTGGGGGTGGCAGCAGAATTTCCGCAGTGTGGGCCAAGACAGGCTCGCACGGCAATGTGTCCGTCTTTGGCCACAATGATCTGTACCCATTCAAGCAAGCAGTTCTTGGCACACGTGCTGCGTTTTTGTGTTGCAGGCAGCGATACTTTCAACAAGAGGCAAGTCCCCTGTGTTTGGAGTTTATTTCAGCCTAAGGGACGCCACTCAAATACCCTTCTTAGGCCCTTCTTCACCCTTCAAAGCCACACAAGTGGTCAAATATGGTCAAATGCAGAAGCAGATGAAGACTCCTTTTGAGGAGCTGCATGGGCTCCACGTCAACCCCTGGCAGGTCTCCCTGGCTCAGATGGCCACGCGAATGGCCACCTACATAGAGGTGACGCCGAAGACACCGGAGAAGCGCTTGCAGGAGGGAAGAGCCGGAGAAGGGGGACACCTCGAGAGGCCTCCAAAACGAGGAGGTGGAGGGTGGTCTCGGCGTCATACAAAAAGTGTACATTGGCTGTCGCGTTTTGCATGGGATGATTTGTGGTCTGGCCATGTTTGGGTTGGTTTCTCTCCTGTCGTGATTGCATGGAACATCGAAGTACAGAATCGCACGGGAAAACAGGCAGTGTTTTGGACTCGCACCCTCCCAAACTACCTCAGGGAGAGGATGGTGTTTACCCAATGTGAATTGCGGCGTGCAGATCAAGTATGCCCGACTTTTGCAAGCAGGAAGTTGAGAGAAGTTATGAATGCAAAACCCGCGCAATCCAGCAGGCGAAGTTTGTCTACCGCCATCTGGAAATTGCAGAAACACGGCTGCCTTTTTTTGAGAAACCGGACAGCAGTCCAGTAGACTCATGGCAAGTGAGTGAAGCAATTGGTGGTCGATGTTCAAGAACGCGCCTAGGAGTGGTATTTCATGACCTCTGCAGCCGCCTATCATGACCCGTCAAATGCCGCGCCTTGCCTCTGACGTTGGTTGTTGGATGCGTTGGTTTTAGCGGTGAAGCAGATAGACTTGGCACTGCGATGTTGTAAGTGGCCAAATTGTGCTGTGGTCAGCCCAGCCAAAACTGGTCCCAGAAACATGATGAGAAATGGACAACCAGGGATGTCAGCCTACAAAGCAACCTCTCTATTTGCCCCTTGACTTGCCATTCAGCCAGGTTTGGAGAAGGTTTTCAATCGCAGCATTAAATTATAAGTATAAGCATGGTTAAGCTCCTCACAAACGAGACCCACGAACCAAAGCAGAGCAAATTCCAGAAGCGAAATGGAACGAGCGAGAGAGCAACAAAAGCAAAGAGGAGAATTATCGACGTACGAGTTCTAGAGAATTTTGTGCATCCCCATGGACCTAGACTGCAGGAGGTAACTCTTCAGGTCTCCTCATCCTGACATGGGCTCAAATGATGTGTGGTGCGAATGAGGGCAGCAATTTTCTTGACAAACCCGGTGCGTGCCAACGATTATGATTCTTTGGCAGGCATGCTGCATGCTAATTGATATGACGGCCGGCTCAGTGCCACAAAGCCAAAGATAAACTGGGATGGTGTTGATCCAGATGACCACTTCTCGAGCCTGTGTATATTGTTAACTATATAACACCTGTTTGCGCAATGAGTCATGTTGAGGTGGCCAAAATTTGGACCCCTGGATGATCAGCCTAAACATGAGGTGGATGGATAGGCAAGGTTTGTCCCGTACAAAGCGTAATACCTACCGGAGACTGGAGTGAAAAGAAGACCCGATGGTCCAGCGCACACAGGAGCCAAGCCATCCTATGAGAAGGGGGGCAGGAGCAACCAGTGGAAGGTAGAAACCCTCAAGCAGACGCCGAGGGAAAACACCAAAAATACAATCTGTGAGCAGCCCCTTTCTTAATTCCTTTCTTAGTGACGATGCTCACAAAGCGAAGCTGTTGTTACATACAACGCAAAGTCTGGAAAGAGTCCAGCAAATTTGATCATTTTGGGTTACAGCAAGAAGTACTGTACATGGATCTGAGCTTGGGTGCGAGTGTGTCGACATGTTCAACCACAGCACCTACTCAAACTTGAAGCTAAGCGGGAAATGTTTCCCCAAATATTCGCCTGAAAATGTCCTAATATTCGGCTTAAAGGACAAAGGTTGAGGAATCTTGGGGATGGACATTCCACTTCTCAGCCGGGAACTCATTCCGCCATCGAAGGTGATGGTTTGTGTCGCAGTCGAGCCTGAGGCGACAACTCTCGCTGCTTCATGTTTGGGTCGGGTGGAATCCTGTCACTTACAGTACTGATCTGTACAGTACTGATCAACTTACGACGTGTTCATGGCCAAGCGCCGCGTGGTTTTGGATGGCATGTTGCAAAGGGCCACCCCGTTTGGGTGAGCGCAAGCCCTTTGGGCCATGCTGTCCGCTGGTCGATTTGGTTGGAGAGACAGCCAACTCGTTCCCATTTGGCAGCTGAGCCGTCCGTGATCTCTAACCACAAGAGTATCCCGAGTTGTCCCCGCGCATTGGACACTGGACCGGATGATCTCAAGATATCCCAAGTAAGAACTTCAACAAAGACGACATGCAAAGACAATCAAAGTAAGCTACTAGTAACAAGTAGCTACTAGGGGCTCCTGGCATCGCTACTAGGAGCGATCGGACGCTACGATCGGGGCTCCTGGCCGTACTACTAGGAGCATTCTTGCTACTAGCAACAAGTAGCCGTAGCTCTTTTGGCCGGGACCTCTCACGACCGGGACCTCTGTTGCTGAGGACCTCTTTCTGCACGACCGGGAGGGACGCCTGTGCAACTTGGCACGCAGTTCGTGGCTGTGCAACTGGGGGTAAATGCCGTGTGGCATGTGGTGTTTGTGGCGTTGCTGCATGTGGGTGGAGCCGTTTTGGATGAGGTTGGGACAGCTTTGGCAACACTGGTCCATATTGGAACTTCAGCAATCCTCGTGTGAGTGATTGGATTCTGAACGAAGTTGCATCAGAGATTGGACGAGAGGCCAATGTCCAAGCACCTTTGATTGATTTGATTTGATGCTTGTGCCATGAGCGTGCCCGAACACGCATCTTGTGGGAGCCGCGTGACACAAGTCTACAATGAACAACGGCACGAGATTTTGTTTTACTGTAAATATTGTTTTTGGTCATCCAAGTCCTAGGCCGTCTTTTTTGATGAAACGGATTACCTCTACTGTGGAGGGACCGCTGGAAACTGCAGTGCAGATGTTCATACTGGAGTTTCTTGGCTACCAACGGAACGGGGAGATGCTCCAGCAAGAGGGTTTGGGATTCTGAGATTTTAGTGTGTTTGCCAGGGCCCCCCTTGAAAGCCACAAATCCACATGCTGGCGGCTCAGGAGGAGGGCTTGGCCCAATACCGTGCAAAGCTGCAGCTGCTGAGAAGCTTATCCCTGACTTTGAATCGCAAGAAGGTTTGGCCCATTTACTCCAGCTACTGGGCCTGTGATAGGATAGCAATGGACACATAGGACATAGGAGATGTAATGGTCATCAACAAATGATAGTTGCAAGCAAGAGGGCCAAGGTTACAATGGCTATTCGGATTTGCCGTGGCGAAAATGTTTGATGCCCTTTGATGAGTGACTTGGCAGCATCGACGCGCACACCGATTTTCAAGCTCTAAGGTCGGATCGTTCTCTGAAAAGCCTCAGGTACTTTAATGTGCTGCAAGATGTTGGTTGGATTCGTTTCTATGAGACTCATGGCTGCAGCATGCATCAACACTAGCTACAGTAGCATCAGTAGCTACAATTTATTGTTGGTTTGCCAGCATGTTTGAGGTTTGGCATTGGAGCAACGTCCCCGAGTGCAGCCTGGGATAGTCAGGTGGAAGATGTTCAAATGTAGGGTGGATGGTTTGGCAGTCTTTCACATTGCAGATGCTTGGGAGTTTAAGCAACTGTTCTGCACCTGCCAGGCCACACTGGCACAGGCCATGCGCGAGTCAGAGTTGGGACTGCCTGTGATGGTGCGAGCAACGCCACAAGCGAAACTATGGTGGCAAGAAGGCAGATTTGGTGCGAACAAGCAACCTGGAGCAATTCGAACGCGTCAAATCAGCCGCTGCTTAAGGAATGCCAAGTCGGGTGCCTCCCTTCCATTGGGCCTGTTCCTGCTAGTGCAGAATGACTACTGGCTGCTCGAATGAGGTTATTATGTGTTTATTTTTTCTGAACCTATGCCCTGAGTTGTTTGCAAGAACGAGTCTGCATGTTGTAAGGTACTTGGGAATTTCAACTGGGTGGCTTTCTGAAAACTGGCAGTGGTGGCCGGAATATGAACTTTGGCTGAGACAGCCATGGGTCTCATGTCTCATGTCTCACGGCAGAGATGGCCCAGTGAGGCAGAGACGACATGAGAGAGACGGGGCGTCTCTGTGAGACGGCTCAGGGACGAGTTATGCCCGAGAGAGCGAGAGAGAGAGAGAGAGAGAAAAACACCGCATATCAGTATATCTTCCATATCCTGGGAGCCGCCACCTGTGGGTTCAGTCCACCTCAGAGCCCAGGACAAGCTCTATGGCTCTCCGTTGGGCCAACCTGAGCTGAAAAGCGATGGGTGGCACCGGAGATTTCAGAAATGCCACGTGTTTGTGAGCGCCCTGGCTGAAAAGTCTGAAAAGGATCCTAAGCAAGGCCATATATGGTCATATGCTTTTGATGTTTTGCAAGCGTGAATGTACGCCCCCACACATCTCGGAGGCACGGACCTGACTCATGCCAACGTGACCTTCACTGACATTGTAAGCCTTTGAAAGTGTACATAGGCCACTCTTAGGGCGTGCAACTCGCATGCCCTGTGGCAATACATGCTTAGGACAAAAGAGCCTCAGAACACGGCATGGCCCGCCGAGCACACACAGGAAAAAGTCACAAGTTTGTTAGGATCGAATGTCCCAATTTGTATGGACACTCTGAGTGGGGAGACCCTTCAAATATCCGGCATGAACAGCTATACTGTATATGATTGTGTGAAACTCCTTGGGTGGACTGACCTCAATTGGTTTTTGCTCATAACTGCCCTTGTTTGGACTGACCTGGAACGCCAGGAACTCTTGGAGGAGCTTTTTGGTCTGGACCTGAAAAACGGGGAGATTCACAAGGACGGCTGGGAGAGATTCACCAGACAGGACGTTAGGTGCATTTGGAAGTGTACCATGTGTTTTGATGCCGCCATGACGTGGTGTTTGGCCTACGCCAGTGCCTACCCCATGCGGAAAATAGTTGCCATATTTTGCTCGTGAAAGGGTGTGTATGGCAGCCGCAGTCATGTGGCTAATTGGCCAAGACCCTTTGCAACTGTGATCAATCGGATGCCGAGGCTCACTTGTGGTTTGGGACTGGGCCTTACTCTTCAAGTGCAGATTGCATTTCTATCGGATTTTCTTGCCATGTTTGGGCCACGATTTGCTGGCATCAGGTGAAATCGCCCGAACGCCGTGGCAGGATGCCGTGTATCCACAAAGCACCCTCCTTTACATGTGCTTCATCACTGATATTTTGATGCCTGGCGCAGGATCAGGCTGGCCTTTGGCTCTAGCTTCAGGTATGCAGAGGACTGCCAGCTGCCGCTTCACTAGTTCACTAGTTGTGTGGAAAGCCCCCCCCCCACACACACACACTTTGACAATGGGTTTGCAGTTAACCTCGAAAGGAATGAGGGAAACGCAAGGTGAAAGGGTCAGCGAAAAAGAATTGTTGAACATTGTTTGCAAAGACTCAAGGTCGATCTGTGCAGTCAACGTGGCGGCAAGTCGTTTGCAAAACGGTGAGGGCAGCTGAAGGAAAGGTTTGGGGGAAGCATCATGAGAACCACCATGGAAGCAAAAAACAGCGGCCGAGGGAAACCAGTGGAGTCAATGTGTTAGGTTGATTTAGGTTGCAGGTACAGGATCAAGCGTTCTTGATCCCTTCCCATCTGTGGTCGTAGCTTCGTTGCGTGCAGTGGACCACAGATGCTGCACGCCCCTGCTTGTGGAAAACTCTCAGGAACAGAGTGTGACACAGACACTCGGCCGCTTTGCGGCGCTCTCGCGGAGGACCTAAAAAGGCACCTAAGAAGCCTTAGAAGCAAAAGAGCGAAAAGCAGAAAGAGCAGCGCTAAAAGGGCAAGAGAGAAAGATAGGAGTAGCAACTTAGCCTTTGACTGGGGTAGGGAAACGAGCCTGAAGAACAACCTAAAAAGCCTGAGAGAAAGCCCAAGAAACGACAAAAAGCGCAAGAAGGAAAGTGCGGGGCAGGGAGGTGTATGTACATGTGTGTGTCCGTGTGTGTGTATGAATGCCTCGCACTCGTAGAATTACTGGATACTTAGACGAAGGGAATTAGGTGCACTAGTTAGGGAGCGGGACTTCCCGCCCGGGTAGAGTAGACTAGAAAAGGAGCAACAGAGGGAAAGGCCCCGACACACAAGTGTGTCGAGTACCATTTCCCTCTGTTACCCTAATTAGAGGGGGGGTTGGGGTGTTTGTGGTAGAGAACACGTTTGGGTTTACTCTCCATATGCCCGGCGGATCCCTGCGGCTTTGAGCCCGGCGGCTTTTGATTTCGAGAAAACAGTGGTTAAACGAAAATCAGTTAAGATAATCCAACGAGTGCAGAAAGCAGTAACGTCAGTTAGTGGTAGTCGGCACGAAATCGGCGCCCCAGTGACGGGGATCACACTGTGCACCCACGTGGGACAGCACAGCGGCACACACTTTGACAATGGGATTGCAGTTAACCTCGAAAGGAATGAGGGAAACGCAAGGTGAAAGGGTCAGCGAAAAAGAATTGTTGAACATTGTTTGCAAAGACTCAAGGTCGATCTGTGCAGTCAACGTGGCGGCAAGTCGCCTGCAAAGCGGTGAGGGCAGCTGAAGGAAAGGTTTGGGGGAAGCATCATGAGAACCACCATGGAAGCAAAAAAACAGCGGCCGAGGGAAACCAGTGGAGTCAATGTGTTAGGTTGATTTAGGTTGCAGGTACAGGATCAAGCGTCCTTGATCCCTTCCCATCTGTGGTCGTAGCTTCGTTGCGTGCAGTGGACCACAGATGCTGCACGCCCCTGCTTGTGGAAAACACTCAGGAACAGAGTGTGACACACACACACGTGCATAAATAACTAGACATTTGACATTAAATGAACAACCGCATTTATATATATATACTGTGCGTGTTGATAAACACATATTTTTAAACATACATGTGTTTTGGAGATGCACATACACCCATAAGTGTGCTTAATATTCAACATATGTTCCCAGCAGGTGGCATTTTAATCACCATCCTCGACCGAAAAACTCGCAAAGTGTGGCCGTGTACTTCCTCACAGTTCTTCACACACCCAGGAGCCCTACATGCTGGGCAGCTGGGTCTTGGAGGGTCAATAATCTGACAGACATGAGAGATCTTTAAAAGAATTGGGAAAGCCACATCTCATGCACAGACTTGGAACATTTGCAAGCTTGATCAAACTTGCCTTTCATTTGGTTTGAAATTTTTGTCAGGCCGGATGCCCTACTATCTACTTGTAAGTTAGTCTTATATTCACCTTTTTAACACAGATGAAATTGGTTCAGCCAGTCCTGAGTCCTGAAGACATTGTGTTAACTCTTGTGTGTTTCTACCAAGGTGTGATGACCACGCTGCAATTCATGGGCGATGGTGTCCAAAGAATTGGCATGGCTCTTGGAGGTTTTTGTTGGTTCCAGGCGGATTGTTGGCCATCCTTGCCACATGGTTTCTATTTAGGCGCCAGGTGTGAACTCATAGGCGATCCTGCTTGAAAGGAGAAGTTCTCCACTTCTTTTGTCCTTTTCAATGATCACCGCTGGCCCAAGGTAATGAGGTTTGCCCTGTCGTCCCTGAAGAGAACGAGGACGAGGAGTGGGCGGCGTCGCTTGGCAGCCAAACAATGAGGACCTGCAGCGTCGGGTAGGGTAGTGGGTAGGGTATGTTCTGCCATTCCTCGCAGCAGTTGAGTAGATTGATGTATATATGTAGATTGTAGACATTTGTAGACCCAACAGCCGGGGCTGGTTATGACGACGTGATCAGGTCAGAGTGCGCGGCCTCAGCCGCTCGAGATGCGCAGGGGACTTGGATGGGATCGCGAGCGTTTGTTTTTTTCAGATGCTGGTGACGCTGTCTTAGCTGTGAGTGTTTCTTTTCCTGCAGGGCTCCGGAGCAGGGTGCTTTGGAATTCGAAGAGGTAGTGGTTCCCTTGACGGAGGCGCATTGTGTTCTACAGCGGCCAGATGTAGGAATTTGAAAGGTTGACAGGTTGACGAGGTGTCGTTGCATTGAATTGCCCGAAAATGATGCAATGTTGGAATCTTAGATGAGGCTCGAACTGAAGAATACTCTCGCATTCGCTGCCAGGTATCTTCCCGAGAGCTCTTCCTAGCGGAATTATTGCAAAGTGATCAGCTCCAATCCCAGCTCCAGTTCTGTTGCACCTGTCTGACTGCCTTCGGTCCGGGTTTGGGGTGTCGCATGGTGTCGCAGGTGTCAGTTGCTGGCCTCACTTTCGCAGGTACGCCGATCGCCAGTTGAAGCCGGTCGAAGCTGTAAACAAGTGTCGAAGCCGTGGCCAGGGCTCCCACTCCAAGTATGGGCACCGTGCATTGCGTCGGCGTCGGCGTACTTTGAGACATGCAACTTGGCTCAGAGAGCAGAGCAAAGCCTTTTGGCAGGTGAACTCGGGAATCAATTCACGTTGTTAAGTTGCGAATGGCCTGCGATGCTTGTGGGGGGGGGGGCATACATAACTGCATACACAATAAGACTGGCTCAGCCTGTGCCATTTCCATCCCTTTCCATTCTACGGGTTTGGGACACCGCCAGGGCCTTTGTGAGACCCTCATGTGGCAAGGTCAGAGAAGCAACCCAGCTTCTACATAGCGCAAGGGGCCTGGCAACCAGCTGTGGCGCGCCTTTTTTGGTCCCGCGCTATCAGTGCGAAACGGCCAAATCTATTGGAAGCACGGCCTGCTAAGGTTCCCAATGATTCGTGACCTCATTTTCTTTTGCAATCAGTGGCACTCCCGGCCGCTTTGCAGCTCTTTTCGTTTCGTCCGCTGAAAAAGCGGATCGCAAGACGGAACAAAATACCAGCAGCGACTTGGCGCGCTTGCTTGACAATGCTTGGCATGTTTGTCAAGCTGTGTCAGTCATGTACATCTATTGAAGCAGGTCGACCATCGACTTGCGGTTTTCAATGCCGTTTCGACCATCGGCTGCCTGGCCTTACTTGACCTTCTTTGGGTTGGCTTCTTCAATACGCCAAGAAATGTGGAACTCAAACACAAATTGTTTACTAGGTCAGATGCCGGGTGAGGCTTTCTGTTCCCCACAGCCTCCAAGAGGCTTTGTTGCCTGTTTTGTTGTTTAATGATCAAAAATTTGTTAATGTTGGCCAACAGTTGTGCTTTGCTTCTGTTTGACCCCAAGCCAGCTGGTCAGTTCGGAGTGATTGTTCGTGATGCCATGGAAAAGCCTAAGTTTCATACCGGCACAGGGTTGGCCCGACCACTGGGCTCTCCACCAGCTGCAAGGCACAAAAAGTCGACCTTTAAGTTCGGCAGACGGAAGCACAGCAGCTCAGCAAGAGACTTTTTGTAGCTTGTTGCTTGCCACGCGCTACGTGGGACGCCACGTGGGACGCCGCCTGCCACATGCAATGCTTCAGTTGTTCGAGAGGATAAACGTGAAGCTTTCAAAGTGCACGTGGCTTCTCATTCAGATAGAAACATGCCAAAGTAGAAGACTGCACCATGAACCTGCAAATCGCAACCACAAGGACAGCCACAAAAAGACAACCAAAGGGCACGAAGGTGCATAGTTTAAAGGTGACAATGCACCGAGTGCCCCATTGCCATGTATGACTTCGCGGATGCACTGCCTGCCGAAGCACAGCACGAGATAGCGCGAGCCTTGATGCACCCTGGGGGCTTTGTCCCCCTTCCAAGGCGAAGGATTGGACACGAGGCACATTGATGGTATGATCTGACGTTCTGAGAGGCCCCGCATATTTTGGCATGACTGCCCAGATCTTTGTGTTCGGTAGACACGTGACTTTGGTATGACTGTTCGTGCATGCCTTTGCGCCAATGTTTGGTCTCAAAAGCTCAGAAGCGCAGCAAGTAGCTGCTATTCAGTTAGATGATGTGCGGAGGCTGCACCGGCCATGATGCGGTAGCTGCAGCAGAGCACAGCCCAACAGCATCGAGGGGGTGATGTTCAGCATTTGTTGTGTTGGCCAGGTGATGTAGTAGTTGCAAGGAAAAGGGAAAAGATGTGATTTGATTCAATGGCATGCCTCGATCAACGAATCTGGGGGCGCACTGGCACGTGCCGCCGCATCGCACCAAAGGCATGAAACAACATACACAACATAGGAGTAAAAAGACTTACTGTAAACAAAGCCTGGCCCCGTCATGGAAGCTTTGCGGGCTCCCTTGGATGCAATTCGCACACGTCTCAACAGACGGCCGCTTGGACGCAGATCGTGCTTACGCTGCACTGGCGGGGAGCCTACTGCAGGGGAGAGAGGGAGGGAAGGAGGGAGAGATAGAGAGGGAGAGTGAAGGCAAAAGAGTTGTTTACCTTCATAGTAGTTAATTTGAATTCTACTAGGAACAAGTGCACTAGGAACAGGTGCCTTACTACTAACTAGTAACAAGAAGCTATTAGAAACAAGAAGCTAGAAAAGCATCCAGAATGATCCTCCCCATCCGAACTTCCTGAGTTCACGAAGATCGTTCTGTCAACACGCGTCTTTCAGGAAGTCTTTTCTTCAGAAAACCTGAACATGAGGGGCCGTTTCTGGCATTCACTTCCAACATGTCGAAAACGCCGGCTCAGCAACCGAGCTCTTCACGAGTTTCTGCCTTACCCGAGAGAAGTAGTCGTCGAATTGAGCGGCCGGTGGCAGGATTGCTTTGCAACGTGCTGTGCCGGAGAGTGAGGCCAATCACGTGGGTGGAGGGACCATGTTGGGTCACTGTGGCACACAGCGCAGATGCTTGTGGTTTCGAAAGCTCAGGTTGATGTCAAGGCAGTGCGGACCTTTTGGTGGCTCAGTTGCAAACTGGTTGGTCAAGACTCAAACTTTAGGATACTTTAGGAATGTCAAAGACTTATCCCCAATGTCAATCTGGTCCGCTGCGGAGGTCCTCCTTACCTACAGAGGTTCGCCTAGAAGTTCTGCGCTTCACTGATTCCACTGTCGTTCAGCGAGTGCACGACTACATGATCAAGCTGCTAAAAGCAGAGACTTTGCTCAATATAATTTCTATGAAACCGCATTATTTCTAGCACTTTCATTCAAAAATTCAGTGGCGGAAGTGCAAGGAAACAACACATGGAGCATTTCTCAGACCATTTAGGAGAGAGAATAGAGAGAAAGATAGAGAGAGAGAGAGTTGCACCCGTATTTCATAAGAAGTTATACCTCCCATAGGTTTTCATTGGGATATATACTTGTGCATAGGGGTTAACATTTCCTGCATAAAATGACTGGCCCTGGGGCTCGTATGAAACTTTCTTTTAGACCCCTAAAGTGACGATGCGGCCCGTCACTTCGTAGTAACTTTAAAAAATGACGACGTAGCCCTCATTTTGTAGAGATTTCGTACTGGTGGTTAAATGCATGGACGGCCATTTTTTCTTTCTGAACATGTGCTGATTATGTTCTCACAAAGCCACAGCCATCCAACCAATTTCTAGAGAAGGATCGGAGTGTCGAGGAATTCAAGATAAACAACATGTATACAGGTTTGTTGTGTGTCGACCATTGAATTCGTACACATAATCAAAATTATACAAAAAAGACATCCTGCCATTTCTATTCTATTCTCCGAATCTCTTGGATCCCTCTTTGGGTTGAAGCATGTTGCAGCCTGCGTGATCCAGAGATTCTATAGAACGATGGTCCCTATTGTTGAGAGTGCCCTGCCTCTACGAAAGGACAGTTCTTGGTTGAGAGTGCCCTGGCTCTGCAAAATGACAGCTCTGTGCATAAGACCCGCTTACCTTTCCCATTTGTTCTGTCTGATGGGCGTCCCTGAAAGATCATTACTGGAGCTCTTATTGTTCTACACAATGATAGCTCTTGTTTGTTCTACAAAATGATGTGATCTTAATCTTTTGGTCTCTATGAAATGCTGGGACTCATCGTCATTTCTTGGCTGGTAGGGCTCCAGCGTCCTCAACTACAAAATGCTTGGCTACACCCCCAGCATTTGAGCTATCTTTTCACTTTAAAATGTCCTCGAAACAGCAAATTCGTAGTATAAAAATTCAATTTAGACATCTATTACGAATCAAGAGCCCATCAATTTATACAAAACCATGTTTCATTCCCACCATTTTGTAAACACCAACCTGTGTTCCGATGAATTGTGACTACAAAATTGGGGCCACATCGTCACATGAAATCTCAACCGGGATACTTGTGCCATATTGAACATGGCAGTCAAGTAATGTCAAGTATGCTGAAGCAGGCTCTGAGGTTTCAAGCTGGCAAATGTGATGTGCCGTTTCGGATCATTGGACTATCCGTGTGGGATCCCCAAACACCAGTGGTGGGGGTGGTGGTGACGAAGTGGACTGAGGATATTTGGAGCCGAATGAACGACGTCTCCACAGGTGATGCAGCTTGACTTTACGTCCCCATTCTGCTGTGAACGCAGGCATTCTCAACAACTGCTCAACAACTGTGCACACGACATGGTTTGCCTAATAATAAGCATGTTTGGAAGTGTAGAGGGGCTAACCTGGCGCGGAACGCTTGGATTCCACACGGAACAGCGCGTGGCGTCTGATCTGAGGAACCTGCGCCACGGCTGGAGGGCTTTGAGTTCGAAGCTCCAGCAGAGCGTGATTGTATGGGCTCCTTACGAGCGCCCATCGCCATTATGGCTCTTTGACGGCAGGTGCCGAATAGGCGACCCCCATCCAAGACACTGTTATGGGTCTAGATTTGGGGACCGCTACAGATTGAATCACACCTTGGACCTTTTGAAAGGCCCTGGCTCAGAGGGCGAACTTTGATGCGTTACGTTCAGTCAAGTCTGAACTGTGACGGCCCCAGGCTACCGAGGAGCTTGCAGCCGCTCGGTTATTTTTCATTCCATGAGCTCCGAAAGCTGCAGTTTTGATTCGTTTTGCTCCATAACTTTTTTTGTCAAAGCAAATATGGATAATATTCAATTTGCGTGAGGCCAATGACCAATTGCTTGAAACCATGGAGGAATTGTGGCTCGGCCGAATTTCTTGGGGCCAGGGACCAGGGAACCGGCAGAGAAAGGTCATTGTTTGAGGGATCTAATGTTGACTGACTGATGATGAGGGAATAAAACAGGCTCCATCCAGGTAGCCGGGTTTTGTTCATCTACAGCCGACATGTTCCTTGGCACTTCAGGACGCTCCGTAATTAGGTGTCCTTAGGTGTCAGAAGTTGAAACACATTGTTTTGATGCACACCAGCCCTTGGTAGGTTGGGCAGTCCGCTGCTGAATGGGCGGCCTGCATTGCAGCACAGAGATTGGAGTACTGCACCTTCCCTGAAGTTCGGAGCATTCTGCCCAACGGGGCCATCAGAGAAGACTGAAGGAAAGGATGGTGTGAACTAGTGCGAACTCTGCGTTTTTAGAGAACAATCATGAACACATCAAACTTCTTATACTACGGCAAATGCTTGTACAAAGCTGATTTGGTCATGCTTTCCCCATGTGCTCCCAAGAAATGAGATAGTAGATTATTCATGAAGATTATTGAAATTACATCCACATAGTAAAGATGGCAGTGGCTTAGTAGCAGTGCTGATAGTAGAGATTCTATCCAGTCCGGGAACTTTGACAACTATACAAATCACTTTGCGCCATAATTTTTTCCATCACCAGACCACCATGCCCCATGGTCTTAGTCTTGATAAGACCACTCAGTCTCTATGTTATCGTCGCCTGAATCAGGTCTTTGATGTGTCCCCAAGCTCCTGGGAGGAACTGCAGCAGCAACTCTACCGAATCCCGGCCGAATCCGGACTCCTCGCCGGCCGGATTTCGGAGACGCTTTATTTTGGGTCGAAAACAGCGACAATTTTGGGAACACCCTCTAGTTGGAAGGTGCCTCCGTTCACGTTTAGCACGCCCAGTTCATGTCTTTGAGGTTCAGTTGCCTGTGTTGTGCAGAGAACGCGGCGCTGAGGACTGGTAGAGCTGGCCATTTTCCACGCGGAGCCTTGCTCAGACTCCCAAGCCGAAGCAATTCAATGGATTTGCGGCACAGCTTCCACCGAAAAGTCCCCAAGCTACAGGTCGTCATACCAATGTATGCCATGTCGCATGATCTTGGCACGATTCAACCCCAGAACCCGACCCTTTGGCTGGGTCATCTGGACCATGGATGAATAGAACCACTACATATGTTGCTTACGTGTGTTTACCATCCAGGTAGGGGGTTTAAATGGGTTTTATGGTCTTGACTGATCTTTGAGGGTCCATAGAGTCACTCCTCAGGAGCGTGATCCCTACTACCAGCTGCTGCGGGATGCACCAGTACCACCCATGAGGCGGCGACGGAAGGCCAGGGTACACGCATGAAGAACGGCACATGGGGCAGATTGCAAACAACGGGGTGATCATGATTGGTGATTTTTTTGTTCTTTGGAGCTATGACGTCTCCAATCGCGTCTATAGGACGTAAGTCCTCATACTGCAAACTAGCAGACAATAAAGAAGACGATGCCAGCACCATGAACAACTCTACATAGGCCTAAGGGCTACAAGAGAGTGAAGCAAACTTGGAGGAGGGGTTGTGTAGTGCAGGGAGTCACTAAAGCATACAGAGAACCAAGACATTGTGACATGGCTGTGTTCGTCGAGGCGAAGCGGCCAGCCAAGCCATCGCCTCAGCGTTCAAGCTTGGTGGAGAGTTTTCACTTGTTTTTCGATCATTTCAGTGTTTGGTTCCCATGCCACTTGCCAAGGAAAGAGTCAACTGCCATTTCAGCTGCTGATCAGACAGCCTCTGCCGAGCAGAATCAGAAGGCCGAGTGCAGGGTTAATGCTAATGTAGAGTAATTAGCTACTATTGAGCACTTAACTCAATCCCGCATGCAATGTGCCAGAAAATCAGAAGGCCAACTTGATATTTACTACTTTGTGCACCGCTCACATTTATGGTCCCTCCAGCAGGGGTTGGGATGTTCAAGGCTTGAATATGGTGTGCCAGGTGAGCCAGAACACAGCTGCAACATCAATGAATGCGACTGCAGAAATGACAGAGGACCCCCAGCTGCCATTTTTTGCTCGAACATGTCCAACGGCTTTTTTCAGATTTGCAGTCACACCTGGCAGGATATGCATGTAGCATTCAGCACCACGCCCGCCCGCAAGACCAAAGGTTGAGCGTGATGATTTTATGACGCCAGGAGGACAACAAACTTGGTGATGAGGAAGGCCATCACTGTATGTTTTTGATCCATGGTGTTTTAAAGGGTTGGTTTTTGCGACTAGCTCACTCATGCTGGTCATGCAGTTGAGAGTGCCACATCGAATCGCAACCACCTTGAGCGTTTCTGGGGGATTCTGTCTTGCATGAGCGACTGGGACAGCGATGATTCAACTATCAGTAAACAAACGATCTATATAGTTCACAGTCACAGTATCATGAGTCATGATGAGTCATGAGGAATGAACTGATATGAACTGACCCTCTATGCAGCCTTTGGAAGCAAGCCTTACTAGGCTGTGTGACGACCTACAGGTGTGCAGCATGTGCAAGAAGAGAAGCAGGGAAGTCTGTGGACGAACACTTTGCATGTTGCAATCCTTCCGCCTCGGTCGTCAGGTGAGTCAGACAACCCTGATCAGGAGAGTTTCTTTGGGGTCGGAGCCCTGCTGGCAGTGGAAACAACATCCAACACGATGGACAACTCGAGTTGTTTCTTAGTGTCAGTGTGTGTACTCATTTGCATGTTGGTTTTGAAGCCTGGTTTGGCCACATGGCCACATGTTCTTTTGTGCTGGTGCACTTTTCTCTCACCCCTACATTTCAGCTTGTGGCAACAGGAGATCGCTGAGGACTCATGTGACTCATGTGCTTTTGCATTTTAACTTTAGAGATGATCAGGTTGTGGGATAGTCGGATAGTACCGTATTGATTGTGCAGCTGCATGGCATACAAATCGCAAAGAACACCAGACAGACATTGCAACCGCAGGACGCGGCATGCCTGGAGCAGCCTGCGCAGCTCAGGCCATCAATCTGCGCGGTCTGCTAAACCGGTGGTCAATGGTTTTTCACTCAGACGGCCAAAAAGCTTATATCTTTTTCACACCCTTCGCTATAGAGAAAATGCACAGGCCAATGGCAGGCTCGGCTGAGATGGCCTGTAGGCCGAGGTGGTGGCCCTAGTGGCCGTTGAAGCCGGTTTCAGAAGAAAAGTGGCACAAACACACCTGGATGAACAGTTTCAGTTTCAGCTGTGCATTCACGTGCTTTGGCCAGATGCCTGATGTTGAAGCCTAGATCCCTAGATGCCTCAAGGGCCTTCACAAATGCTCGAACATGCGTCATTTGATGTTATTTGCATCGCACATCGCAAGAACACGGTCCAGACATTCAGATGAGGCTCCGCCTGAGCAGTGAAGAAGCTACCTGCTTTCGATGGTTGCCGGACATTTTCCAGGCGTTTTAAAAAATCAAAAAAGGGGCTTTGCCTGAAGATCCTTAAACATATCTATGATAGAACAACATACTTAGAGCCATTGGAAGTCAAGGACGCGTGGGGAAGGCTTTCCGGCTAATCGAAGTTTGAGAGGTGATAAGCATGAAGAAGTTTGCGTTTATTCATTCAACCCCAGGTCCTTGTTTGTTGGCTGCGTGGTGTGTCATTTCGCAGCATACTTATACTTGTGGCTTCCACAGATAATTCAATTTCTTGCATTCAGGACGGGAGTCACTTCCAACTCATGCAATATAGAGGCTTGGCAGACCTTTATTGCTCCTCCAACGGTGATGTTTTCCCAAATTCGGAGCACATGCTTCGAAACCAGCACTCCTAGGAAGTAGAGATGCTGCTGAAGCCAAGATTCCAGTTGCCAGAGCCTATGCATCTCAGATGCACAAAGACCGACCTTGCTTCTCAGCCAAAATGGAAAGTGTAGATCAACATCGATGACATTTGAATCAATTCTTACTTGGAACCTCATATGGAGGCACACTGAGACTTGAAGCCATGTGCCAGCATGAGTTTCCCTTCCCCCAACCTGGACGACGGACGTTCACTTCATGCACTGTCAAAGGTGCGCAATACCTTTGTGGAGGTGGAAGTTCTTGACGAGCATCTCACCGCAAGTTTACTTGGTGTGCCCGTGGGAAGCAGGTAGTGGACCGTGATCTGGCAGTTGTACACAAGTCTCGCACATGTCTAGAGTCTAGACTGGATTTCTGAGGCACGACGTCACACCAAAGCTGCGGCGAAGTGCATCTGAAACCTTCGAGATGACAAAGCAGTGATTCCACATTTTCTTGCAGGGTGACGCTAGCCACACAACCTGTACAGCTGCCAGCGCAGGTTCAGGATTGGCCGCTAGAGTAGCCAATTTTTGCACCTCCATGATGGCGATGAGCTGCTCGACTGAAGCAGCTTTGCTTTTCAGCTTGAGAGCTGTCCGACCAGCCAAGTACAATTTTCAATTGGTCTCCAAAGCTATACTACCAGTGTGAGGCACAGTGTGAGGGCCATCTTACAAAAGACTCAGACTCAGACCTTATCTACAGAACCTGAGCTTGACTCCTCAAAGGCAATGCTATTTGCTCAGGTTCTTCAACACTTTGAGTTGCCTTGCACGCCTAAAGTTTCGGCGACCGGTACACTCTGTACTCGCATTTTTCTTACGTGTGCTTTGCCTCAATCATCGGCGTTATATGAGCCGTTGGACAATGTCGCAATTGAAAAGGCTGCTTTGGCCAGGGCAACTGTTGCTTGCTCAATGATTGGGGCACTGCGACGTAAATGGATTGGACACAGAGCCAGCGTGATCACTCCCTCTCGCTCACTAAATTTAGTGTTGGCCGCCCGGAACACTTTTTTTTTTTTCTGTTGGAAGTCCTTTGCGGCTTTCCTTCCCTTCCCTCATTCGCAGATGGCAATGTGTGCTCTCCAGAACTGTCACGACCCGGTGTGTGTTCCACCGGGAGGGCGTGTACGGGTCAGACCGTCCATGCAAATGTGATTGTACAGATCCATCGTTGGAGCGGCTCGGAACCAAAAAAAAATGAACGATTCCCGAGCCTGGCACCTCCGCGTCGTGGTCAGCTCGGGCAGACATGGTCGGCGTCTTCGTTTTCCTTTTTTTTGCGGCTCGCGACCGTCTGACCAGGTTGGTCCCGTTGTGTAGTTTTGCGGGTATGCACCTTGTTTGCACGTTGCTATCGTGCAGCTTGGTGGCTGTCAACTGAGGTTGATCTGTGAGCAGTTGCATCCTGAGATATTGATAGATGATGACTAACTAGGCAGTGCATAGAACTTCCTGATCTATGACTCATGGCATTTGAGCTATCAATTAAGATCACAGGGCCGCGCTTGGGCACGTTTTTCTGGTTCCAAAATGAAAGAATGTTCTGGTGCGACAGTTGGACAAGATTGACAACTTGTGCTGTAGCTGTTTCGGCTAAAAAAGAGTCCAGCTGTTTGCCATGCACACGGCTGGAACATAGAGGCCGCTGTAGCCAAGAGCCGTGTCTGACAGTTCTGGATTGGGGGTCAGTGAAAGAACACCCGATGCTTGCTTTTGGTTGTACTTTGGCTTATTCCTGTGCAATTTTCTGAAGGGCTCATCGTACTTACTACTGAATCACTCACCAAATCACACTTTCGCCTCCAGTCGTGCATGCTCTTTTCTGGGGTGCCCGTGGACAGGCGCAGCCGCATGCTTCGGGGGCTCCTGCCCCTTCTTCTTTGGCGAACACTGGCGTTCCCCAACTGCAAGACATGTCATGCCAGTTAATAAGCTGCCGCCTTACTTTTGTTGCAAGCTGTTGGAATTGTAGCATATTGTAGCCAGTATTTGGCATAGCTAATAGTTAATAGCTCCTAAAACAGTTTCTTTTGTTTTTGCTTTCTTTTGGCGTGTCGCTCTTCTGCTTTGCTCCAGTTGTCCCATCGTTTGTCTCTTTCGCTCTTTTGCTATCATCCTGCAGCTATAAAGTCTGACGGTGGTGGGTAGTGCATTGTGCATTTCATGGCAGTTTGGGCTCAACAAGCATTATTTTCCAACTTTCTCCCAGTGGATTTAAAAGCCCAGGTCGCTCTAGACATCATCCTTGCCTTTTGTTAGTTACTTAATTCCTCCTTTTTCCTCTCATATAGTTGTGTAACGATGACCCGCCATGTTGCATCGCTGTTTCATTCTCGCCTGCGCCACCAGGGACTGGCTCGACGAGGGTTACAACATTCCCATAATCGATCCCAGCGCTGGCACTGGTACTCCACTTCATCGCTACTACGCACGGATCCCTAGTTTTGACAGTTTATCACCACTACACTTTGATTTCTTTAGCATTTGTGAGCAAGGGCGAAAAGTAGTGATGTCCGAGTCCTGCTAGTGGGGTGGGGAGAAGTGACTTACTTTTCAGTCCATGTTGAGAAAAGCGATGAAGGGCTTCCAACAATGCAGGTTGCATAGAAGTACGGCAGGTGAGCATTAAGTAAGCACGAACACCTAGCTGTGGCAAGACTGAGGTCCATGAGTCAGAACGAATTGCGACAGATGGACACAACGCCATTGACCAGCAAGCTGTCAACGTATCAGATCAGCGAGCTTGTATGGAAAGTTGCACTTCGGCTGCACAAACAACACGGATGCAAAGTACGCAATCTGACAGCTGCCAGCCGCCTTTGGTCTGCTTTGTGAAGCTGCGATATAAGTTGCTTTATTTGAATCTACTTTTCAGATATGTCATTTGTTTGCATTCATGATCTGAGGCGATCAGGACGGGCTGCACACTTTATGCCAAGCTGCTACGGCATGCTATGGCTACAGCTACGGCTGATGTACTGTAGGTTTTCTGAATGCTTTAGCCACATTTGAGTGTCGTGCAATGGGTTCCGATGTATTCAGTGCTGCAGGACACACGGTGCGATTGCGCGACCTTTTGGCCAAAGTTCAGGATGGACGCCGGAGCCATTTAGACAAAAGGCATTCAAGCTGAAGGATTGTATCATTTAGATGATTTGATTCAAATCGTTTGTTTAGATTGTTTGGGCAGTTTTTTTCGTGGCCCATGGCTGGGGCTACCGAAGTCCTTGACCCAGAACCCTGGAACAGTCAGCAGGTTGTCGTGTATTTTTGTCAAGGGCACGCTGGCCGTCAGGAGCTGTCAACGATGGATTGGTGCTGGCCTCAATGGGAGCCACAGTTAGATAGCTTCTGCACGTTGAGGGCATCAAGCACGTTGATCCTAAAGGCTGCTGTATAAGTTCAGACAGTCAACCATATTGCAGCTGATTGCAGCTGATGGACATGTTGAGGGGGCATCCCTGAAGAGAAGGTTGATTAGGGCATTTTGAGTGGGGCTCAACGGTTCACATGATGACTTTGGATGACTGGTGATGACTTCTTCCTATGGTATGGCTGGGTCACCTAGGTCCTCGTCCGACCATCGTGTTGGAAACACTTCCGGTCAGTCGGACGATGTCGGTGCTCGGAATCCCTTTTGGTGCTGTGCCTTCGGGGGGTCTACGCCCGTTCGGCGTCGATCGATCCAGTTCGGCCAGGCTGCCAAAGGCACTCCAACAACTTCGTCAAGGACAGGTCAACGTCCGCGTCCCAAGGGATCCATGGGTTCAGGCTGTTTCGAACTCGATTTGCATCGCTTCGAAATGCTTCAACTCGGTCTCGCCTGGCTTTCTCAGCAGTGGCTTGCTGCATAAGGAACACCCTTATGAAGGTGCCAAAGCTAACACCTGAGTACAAAGAGTCAGGTTCTCAGCGCTTTACATCGAGCGAACTGCCAGGTTAACTTATGTCATAGAGTCATGGTCCGTTAATTAGAGATTTGGTATTTTTTTGGCGGGGCAAGAGTTGCCACTCATGATGAGGTTCCGGCACTATGCTGGGCATTCTTTTGTGGAAGACCGAGGTGCGAAGTCATAAAGCAGTTTTGTGTGAGGGATCGAGCACTGAGCATGCGTGAGGGAGACACAGAGATAGAGAGAGAGAGAGAGACAAGCAGCCTGAAGTCAAAGCTGGGTTCAAGGTGGTGATCCTGCCATAGCCTCTTGCTTGCACATTCTGCCCATTGGTTGATGCTGACTCCTGACTTTCTCCATGAGAACTACCAATGTGGCTACCAGGTCACAAGGACAACAACTCCCAACTATCCCAGCTTCATTTTGTCCTCAGCCAAGGTCAATGGCTGGCAGGAATGCCAGGATCGATGTACGGTTGATCCAAGTTGTGAGTGCACTGTATGGGCGCTGGACGGTACATCAAGGCGCTGGGCGCTGGATGTTGGAGTATTGGTGAATCTATAGTGTCGTGCATTGACATAGCAAGTGTCTCAGCTTATTGATTTGTCCTCCATTGTGAAGACTTTGTAGGGTGAACATTAGATTCTAGATCAGCATGTCCCGTCGCTTACCGAGTGGTTGCATGTCACGTCGCTTACCGTGCCAGTCGTCATAACTAGTTCCGACTCACCTGGAATTGGAAGGTGTTGGAAGGAGAAAGGATGCCTAGAAGCCAATCTCAGGCTCCCTGGGGTGATTTCGGCATGCTCATGAAAGGCAGCAAGCACTACGTAAGATTGTTTGGCGGTGCCATGTGCCCTTGAAACCAAGTGGAAGTGGTAGGTCATTGACAGAGCGTTGGGAGCTGCGAGGTATGACCCAATCTACTCCACTTTCCTGAAAGACAAAGATGCTTTGGTGAGGGTGCAGACCACAACCACCGCAGCGGGGCTGAAGAACGCGCGCGCAGCGATGGAGTTCATGGGTTGAACATGGATTCACAGAGTTTGGAAGATCAGATGACAACGGCCATCAAGGGCTGCCTTGATTTGCTCAGCGGCAAGTTCTCACATATATGCCGGCTCATTTGTTACCCCGCACAAGCTTGGTGCTTTTTTGTAGGCTTGAAATTAGCAGCTTGACAAAGCATTTCTTTGATCTATGCCGGACCTATGCATTTGCAGTTGCGCTATGTCGCACACCTACGTCATAAGTGACTGGCTAGTAAGCAGTTAGAGGCGCACACACACGTCCACATATGTATAATTTGGGGTATGGCATGGTAGGTGTACAATTATAATTGTAATTGTTTATCGTAATTATTTCACGTTATATGGTGCACATTTATATATATATATATACACATATATTACGTGTAGTTGTAATGTGCGAAACTGCATAGATAAATATTTAATGGCACCCACCCTTTTGCGCAGAACGTCTTTTGCGGAGCTGGTGCTTTAGCAAGTGTCGCTATGGAGCTGAGTGATTTTGCACATTCTGTCACGCTTCAGGAAGAGGAAAGGCGCTGGATTCCGGTGGTGGTCACGGATGAAGACACAACTAAGAAGGACTGGTTTTGGGAAATGGATCGATTGGACAAAGGGATAGGCCACAGTAATACATTACACTGGGGTCCTCTGGGGTCCTGCCGGCACTGTAAGAGTCGTAAAGGCTTTATCACGGCTTCTAGTGGAGACCGTACTGAGCATCATCCAATGTGATCCAACTCTGCATGTAAAGTGAACCATATCATGAATTCCACAGTCTCTCACCACCAATCTCCAAAGTCCGCGGAGGAGACAACTGAAAAGACCACGGCTGAGGTGACTTGATAGTTTCAAGCACTGAGGATTGTGATGACTGTGCACCATGAAGCTAGCATCCAGCAAAACGTCCTTGTGTTGCTTTAAATTTGCTTTGGCTGGAGCAGATTTGAAAACTAGAGTGCCAGCCGAGCGAATCACTTCTGGTTTCGACTTGGTCTTTTCTTTGGTGCGTCAGGTCACAACATCCACTGTATCGAGCACTGGTGAAACCACCTCGACTGGCAGTGAATCTAGCACAGCAACCACGACCACCACCACCACCACCACTACAACTTCTACAACGTCTACTACCACGACCACTGGAATGCCTCAAGCGCTGCTAGTATCCATGACCATGGTGATACCGCCACTGGCTTGCATATGTGCTGTTGGTCTGCCCGTTTGCAATTGACCGCTGATCAGATGCTCAACCGCCTCTAAGACTCTAAGATTTCCCAGAGATGAGCCAAGGTATCCAAGCGATGTGGACTCGGGTAATGATCAGTTTTTGCAGCACACGAAGCAGGCATTGGACTTCACAACATATCTGAGACCTTTTTCTACCATATTTTGCCCTTAGATTTGTTAGTTGTTTTCAACGTGCGGCCGGCAGTTCATTCAAGCTAGATGACCACCACGAGGGCTTTGATGGATTTCACAGCGCTCGTTGGCACAAGCTTCTACAGGGCAATGCGGCCCCTTTCACCTGAAGCCGTAGAGCAGTAGTTCATAGACAAGTGTCCAGACATTGCCTGACCACAACTCTTCACAGAGGCACACACGTAAGAAAAGACCAAGGAGGCTGTCTATACTTTCATTGCGGGAGTTCAGTGTGTAAGTACCACGCTCATCCTAATTGTTTTTTGGTAATCACTGATCACAGATGGCGGGCTGGCATCAGCCAGTACCTCAAGAGTAAAGCACGTGGGTTTTCATGATCCGCACCTAAAGGCCGGCATACTGGCAAACAAGCCCTAGGACCCTAGGATACAAGATGACACAATGACAATGAATGGCTGGTAGTTTACACATGTTTACAATAGACTCTTCGGAGAAGATGGGGAACAACTGAGCCATGGCCCCGAGCAGCTCTTCGGGCAGCCGAGCGAGTGAGAAGAGAAAGAAGAAGGCCGGTGGCCAGGGCAGTTCGCTCGCGTTTGGCCGGACACTTGGGAGGACGCGTTGAATTCGGCTTCGCGAAGGATTGCGATTTGAAGAAGCCCAGGATAAGAAGGAGAAAAAGGACAAGAAGAGTAAGAAAGAGAAAAAGGATAAGAAGGAGAAGCGCTCCAAGTTCCTGGGTGTCAATGTGCTTGCGGGAAGAAACACAACAACTTGTGATCGACAAGTTTTGTGCGTCTAACAGATTTGGACACCATCAGCTGACCAGCTATGCTCGTAAGGAAAGATGATGAGAAGGAAAAGTGCCTTGTTCCCATTCATGTTTGCTTTCTTGATTCAGCGCGAAGGCGTTCTCAACCAAAGAATCGAACATGTAGGAAGGAAATGGAAGGAAGGTGCACGGAAGATGTCCACGCTTTGGGGTCTTATATTGATTAGATTCTTCCAAGTCATCAGGAGCTTCCATGAAGACCCACATGACTGCGGTTTCTTTGTGGGAAAGCTTCCTGAAACGATTTGACTCACCCTCCTAGAGCCTGCGCTCGGGCCCAGTCCACCGGGTCCGCACTCGTGGACCTGCGCAGACTGAGGAAGCGGGCTGAGAGGGCGGAAACTTGGAACTGCGAGCGAGGTGATGCGGTCCGACAGACCCGCGGCGGAAAAAGAAACGGCTGACCCGCGGGGTCCGACCATCCGTTGATTTTGGGATTCGGAGAAATGAGGAAAAGGCGGTCTATGCCCTTTTTCTGTACGGCCAAAGGTATAGCAGCGGTGATAGGTAGACCCCGTTTGCCCTGCGATCCGATCGCGCTGGTGCGATCTTTGAGGATTGGTGCCCTGCTTCAGCTTGATGCGGCGGTGGAAGAGGAACTGGATGGGGTCTTTGAGGCCATGTGCGACACTGGGTGCGGTTCTGGATCATTCCATCGATGCTGTGCAGGCCATCGATGAGGGCGAAACGGTGCGGATTGACGGCCTTCAGAACAAGCAGGCGAAACGGGGTTGCAGCCGGCCAAGACGGCATGGATTGGCATGGCCTCTCTAGCTTCCCAGCGGCATAGGGGGACTGACAAGGGGTTCGAAGACTGCGAGCCTGCTTCGCCCATTCAAGCTGCACAAGAAACAAGACCAGGACAAGAACAAGATAGTTTTATAGAGAGAGGGAGCGGAGAATGGTTTGTTGCTGCGTCGAGGTGCACATGTTCGGGTTGTTTCACATTGTTTGACAAATTGTTGGATGTTGTTCGTTTGAGTGACGTTTGGAGATTGACAGGCGCGGAAGAAGCTGCGTCACTTATTGCAGGCTTTCCGTTTGACACAGGCTGGGCACGTGATGTTTTCATATTTGTTCAATAGTTGCACGGTTTTGGGGATGCAACGGGTTGGCCACTCGAAGCGAATAAATCCCACCGAAGAGGGGCAGAAGATAGCGGGACCGGATCCAAGGCCTCAGATGGCCCAAGGCCCCAGACGGACCATTTGGCACCAAGAAAGGCCACCTCCTGATGGGTTCTAAGTCCACATAGATCCACCAGACCAGTCGTTGGGTCAGGAAGAGAATGGCCAAGCCTACAGAAGCTGCGAGCTTAAAGTCTCCTTCAAGAGCATCTATCAAGAGTGCCTCATCAGGGCGAAGGAGCACTTCGTCGCGAAGCCCGTGGATGTGGAAGAGCCCGAGGAAGAAGAACCCGACCAAGCTGAACCGGAGGCTTTCGACCCCCGTGCTGGATACTCGGGTGAAGCGGAGGAAGCAGAAGCAGCTCCTCCAGCTGCACGAATTCGAGGGCCTCAACTGCCTGGAGCAACCGTGGGCGCATCTGAGTTGCACAGCGGTTCCGAATCAGATGGGGAAGCTGGACCTCGCGGGGAAGGTGAAGAAAGAGAAGGTGTGGATTTGAGATATGCGGATCCAGTGCAAAGTGGCAGGGAAGAATGGATGACGATGGCGCCTGAGAGCAACTTTCAATCAACCAATCTCGTGGAACGCTTTGCTATGTTGTCTCATAGGTGCACTGCTGCTTCATGAAAATCACCGTCGATCTTGCACGTATCATGCTAGTGTTGATTTCTATTGATGCGTCTTCACGTGGTGCCGGGTATGCCGGAGAGATCCGAGCAGATTCCTTTAGTGTTCGCCCATTGTCCAAGCACTGGCCAGCTTCTGTGGGGTCACCGGGTTTATATGGGGGTTCTCTCACCTTGAATTGCAAGAAGACCAGCTTGGGGGAGTGCGAAAGATATGAAGGTGTCTCCCTCTCTTTTTTTTTCCCTCTCTCTCTCTCTCCCACTTTTCGCATGTAAGTTGACACTGCGCGCCAGTTAATTGGTGAGGTGCCTCGTGAACAGCTCTCAGCTCGACGCATCATCTCTCGCATCCGATCCGTCGAAATCATGGAGACACTGTGAAAATAGCTGAAAATAGCAACGGAGATAACGGAGGGGGGTCAGTCGGATTAAAATTGATTGGCTGGCCTCAGAGGCATTCTTCCACAATAAGATCCAGACATATAAAGACTATTGTCGAAAAAAGGCCAACTGTGGAGCTAAGGTATGGCTGGGTTGTTCATGGATGGCAATGGGATGATCAGGAAGAAAAAGGCCGATGTCTTTGCCGTGAAGCGTAGCAAGGAGGACGGCTCGCCGACGCCGAGTCTCTTGAGTGCGCGAGCTGAGCACTCGAAACCTTGAAGTAAAGAATGAACTCAAAGCCATCCTCCGTGCAAGCACTGCGAAAGTGCTTTTATAGACAAACCCTAGGCGCACAAGAACGAAAGCAAGAAATAACAACAGTCGTTGCAAGTATACGCTTGCGAAAGACATTTTGTCATCGTAGGTCGCAGGAACGAATCTTGGTCAGGTTTTGAACGGAGAGCCATTTATTTGAGTTTTTTTTTTTTTTTAAAGAGGTGTTTCTTTTTGTTTTTCGCGGCTTCTGGCTTTTGCGGCTTTTGGCTTTCGTGGCTTTCGTGGCTTCTGGATTCTGTGGCTTTTGGCTTTCTCTGGTCCGCTGGTCCTTTGGTCCGCCACTCCAGCTACTACCGCCTCGGAGCCTACGGACTGCTGCGGTAGTCAAGCACCCAGTGCCACACTTTCTCATTTTCTCTTGCCTGCACCTTCAATACTGGCACCTGCGCTTTACAAAATTCAACTTGGCGGCCAAGGTTTGCGTCACAACTACAATGGCGAAAACATGAAGGGTGTTTTGCATATAACAAAATACAACATTATTATATTAAGGTGTTCAAGGCTTTAGCTGTTTGTCTTGGGTGTTAATATGAACATGTCTAATGACACATGACCTGCCAAACCCCACAATGGTGGATGCTGAGGGCCACTTAAACCCCACCCAGCTTTCAACATAGCTTCTTTCCGCACTGTTCCATCCATTTGTCTATGTATCGTATATATATATATATGTTCATATCCGTCTACCTTATCTATCTAGATATCTAGCTATTTTGCTATCTATCTAGCTACCTATCTATCTATCTATCTATCTGTTGATCCTTCCATCCATCTATCCGTCTATCCATCCACCCATCTATCTATCTATCCATCCATCCATCCATCGATCGATCCATCCATCCATCCATCTCCCCATTTTTGTTTCTCTCTCTCTCTCTCTCTTTCACTATCTCTCTCTATCTATCTATCTCTCTCCCTCTCTCTATTTGCACTTCCAAGTTCACAAAATGCTGCACCTGCCACAAAATTTGCACTTCAAGGTCCACAAAGTGCTGCACTTGCCACGAATTTTGCACTTCAAGGTCCACAAAGTGGTGCACCTGCCACGACATCTGCACTTCAAGGTCCGCAAAGTACTGCACCTGCTACGAAAAACGAAAAACAGTCAACCCAAAAAATATTTCCACATTAAATCCGAGCCCTTATGCACCACTCAATTGATGCCACATTTTTGTGATTGCGAGATGGCGCAGTTCAAGGCAGAATGCACCTGTAGAGCACCTTTTCTGTGCGAAAGGCAGCAGAAACAGAATGGAAAGTATCAAAAAGCTACCGGACTATTCTATATAGCACTATAACAACATATTATGGTACATTGTGGTTGTGGAGATACGTGACGTGGACGCGGCTGATGCTGACAGGGGAGGACTGGGATTGGAAGCTAGCTCCACATGCACAAAAGCCGCAAAACCTCACAGCGATGTCATAGTGCCACATGATGTCATATAGTTTTTTTGGGAGGAGCAAGAAGCTTTCGAAAAGGCCTTCAAAGAACGTGGCCCATCTTTGCTGTCTCAGCAGCAGCAGGGCGCCTTTTCAGAGGCCAAGGAGGCACAAGATGCCCTGCGCAAGCGGAAGGTGCAGAAGCCAGAAGGGATCGAACATGTAGGGATGAACAGCATGGACGAACATGTGTTGAGTTTTTGACGACCTCAGAACACCATCCAACCTGTCCGGGTATTCTTTTGGAAGACCACTGGTTTGGTGAAGCTGCATGAAACTGCTGGAGGTTGGTCCCAGTGACGTTTGGGGCATGTCATCAAAGGAGCAAGCAACTTGGCAGAAATACCTGCAAAGATGTGGGACATTCTTTGATGTGACTGTTTCTTTTCTGCATGCACTACCCAGCTCATATGATTTATTTAGTGCTGTAGAGTTGCCACAAATATAGAGGTGTACATCCAGAGCTGGAACCGATTTCAACAGCATTGACAACCTTTCCGTGAAAAGGAACGGCAAGCAGTCGGTGCTCCTGCTGCTCCTACTCGTCGCAAGTCTTTTGACCCGGAGAAGGCGCTAAAAACGGAGCGACGTCGGGCCAGATGACGACCACGACGAAGTGGTTTGAATATATGGTGCTGTCAAAAGCTTCAAACCCAGGTTAGGGAGCTTTTCACATGCTAGTCACTCTGGTCAGCTGGGTGTTTTAAACTTCGAGGACTGTTTTGCATACAGCTTCTTAGGGAAAGCAGATTTCTGGCATGTTCTGGCTTTCCATCTCGCAGCAGCTTCTCCGCCAAAAAGCCGTGCATGCCGTGGATGGGTCATACCAGCCACAGTTGTCCACGCCATGGGCATCGCGGATATCCAGGTGACGAGGAAACCCGAAGCTCCCAGTGATGATCCCCTCCCCGATGCTCTGGAAGTGGACTGCCCAAGCGACCGCAAAAGGTCCAAGCGACAGCAAAAGGTGCAGCGTGCGCGCGAACAGCTGCAGCAGTTTCTCCAAATTCACGGCTTTTCCCACGTGAACGAGCCAAGGAGAACTTTCGGGTTTAGCCTTCGTAGAGAGGAGCTTTATCCAATCCATGTGGCAGCGAAGCTAGGGGACGACCAGATGATTCGCTTGCTGCTTTCAGCTGGTGCAAGTTTGGAGCAACAAACTTCCAATGGCCGCATTGCATTGGACTTTGCTGCTGATGCCGACCGATTTGGCTCTCATCGAGATGTGCTGGGACTGCTGAGAAGTGAAGTGAAGGTGCTCACAGTCCGCAACTTCATTTGGAGCAGGGAAGGCATGTGATGCAGGTTGGTCATTGCAGGCTACACGGCGGCGCAAGTGTTTAATGTTTTGTGGATGGCTGCTGCTTGTGTGCTTCGAATTCTTTAGTTTTAGGTGCAGAAATCTCCGCTACTCTGCCATATCGGTTCTAAGCTTTTGGACAGAGAGGTGGAGCAAATGTGTGCCTTTGATCCTTTCCTCGTTGAAAGCCCGGCTTAAATAGCTGCTGGGCAATGCAACAAAAGGCAGGGGCTTGTCATTCCCGCCGTCATTTTCGCATTGGCTCTGCGTCTGATGATTCAGATGCGGGGAAGGCTCATGACTTTTCGCACGCTCAACCGTGCTCATTGGGTCGAGTCCAGCTGCACCTCTCAGCACAGCAAAATGATGGGCATGTTTGTACTTGATAGACACTGTAGTAACTATAATATAGATTACTAGTCACCAGTATGCTACTAGCATCATCTAGCATCTACCATCTCAGTGCTGGATTTCTACATCCTCTCGTCTCGCATCCCGAAAAGCGTCGTTCATGTTCATCACCGTTGGTCTCTTCCACCAGGATTTGGTGACCACCAAGCCGATGACCTCCGATGAGTTTACCAAGCTGGTGGAAAATTCCCAGAGTGGCCTCACTGGACGTCCCTGGGTTGGGCACTGGGAGGTCGACGGGCGGTGAAGAAGTCTGGGACAAGACACGACCCCGCAGAATGAGGCAAACTTGAGGACGGAGTATTTTTAGGCCGCTATGACAAGTCCCTTTTCTGAAACAATGGCTGGGCACAACACGAGTCCGTGAGGTAAACAAGCTTGTGACGTTGGCTGGGAAAAGCCGGTGATTCTGTAGCAGCTGTAGCATGACGATTGCATGAGCACTGCGAGTCACAATAGCGTCCTTGTTCCTAGTAGCGATGGCCTCCACCTAGTAGTGTCCTAGTAGCTCAAAGTTTGGGCGAGTCATCCTTTTGGCTCTCTGAGGCTTTAGTCGCGGTGGTGTTTCGTCCTCATTTCTGTGATCAGACGCTGAGAACCGCCAAAAAAGATGGCGGCTGTGTTTTGCATCAGAAGCTCTCGGACAAGCTGTGGTTACATTTGATGTGATATGTTTTTTTCTTTGCATTTATCATTGTCATGCACTTGCACATCTCATTGAAGTATTGAAGCTGCAACCTCCATGTAACAGTGTAGCAATAGTATCACAATGTATCATGACATGCATTTGCGGAAGAAATGAATGACTTGACCTGCTTCTGTGCCAGGCCCAGGTGGTTCAGGGGCTGAGTGCGGAAATGGAGGCTGACTGAGCTTGCAAGATTAAGACTGTGTTCAAGCGGCTCAAGGGCTTTTGTGCGGTAAGACTGCAGAATATCTCAGATGCATTTGATTTCGACAGGAGGAGCCTGTAAGATTGTCCTTCCGACAATCTTTGGCATCGTCGATGAACGTCAAGGAGCTCGTAACAACTCGAGACCTGCTGAAGTTGACACAGATGCTCACATGTTTGGAGGAAGATGGGGAAGAATCACAATACTACAACAAAACGGTCATTTCGGATACTATCCTCTTTTGGATTCTTTTGGGCTTTTGATTTGTTCTAATTATGTCCCAATATGTTGCACGGAGTAGTACGTGACAGAGACCCCGACCTGACAACGCGCACGGAGAACAGTGTTTAGGCCCGTTTAGGCCGTGACTAAGTTAAAAAAGGCATGCGACAGTCTACTGAACGGGCGCCAACTACTGATTGGACAAGAGGGCGCAGGAACATGGGAGGAATTTGTGTTTGCATCTATGAACAGGATATGCAGCAATGTGTATAATTAGCAAGTGTGTGCAAATATCATACAGGAGACCCAGGACACCGTGCAGGGTTGACCCTTTGTAACTTAGGCGAAGCAGTCATGCCTTTACACCGGACCTGCCATGAGGTTCATACAGAAGATCCGTTTCAAGACGTTCACACAGCTTTAAATAGGACGTGTTATGTCGAGATTTAGATGGTTGCTGAGCAGCCTTTGATTAGTCCAATGACCGTCATCGGCCGGCTTGGATAGTCATTTGATGTGCATCATGTCCATACATGCCACATGTATGCGTGCCCAACAACTTCATTGTAGAATGTGTTCCGCAGTGGTAGCTTCGCGGTGTGGGCGTTTTGAAGAGCAGGACTTGATTGACTGAAGAACCAAGAAGAACCGATCGACTTGGATTGCGGCCAGTGTGTTCGGCTCACAGGAGAATGACGTACGGTTTGACTCCTCCGGAATCAGACCGCAGGTGGCAGCATGTTTGCTGTTGTGCTTTGTCGTTCTTTGTCCAGAACTCCACACTCCCGATGTCTCCTTGAGGCAGACCGCACCATGCAACTGCTGATCAAGGCAAAGGCGGGACCAGTTTCACATGGTGTGGCATGAACCCCGGGTGGTTTGAACCCTGAAATCTACATGCAGTAGCACTCAGATTCGACACTTCAATTCTGCGTGACAAGCCATGCTCCTGGATGAGGTGACCACCATGGCATTGTCCGTCGATGGGTACTTGGACTTGCGCCAGCGGTTTTGCCCTTTTGCACCTGAAAAGCCCTCGAAGCCTGCCTTGAATTTGAGTTGTGGGCGTGGGAGCATGTGGGAGCTATTCAGCACATTGACTTCGAGTTTGCAGAACTCAGTGTTGCCTCTTCCAGCACCCGTACCCATGTCAGGATTGCAGAGATGAGGAGATTTTTGCAGAGCTGGAGATCATCCCTCCAGCGTAAAGCAACTTTGCCAGAGAGGTGGGGCTCGTGGGGTTCGGCACATCGAGAGGGTCGGCAGCGCAAAACCTGTCAGAGACCCGAACTCGGCTCCAGGCAAGGCTTGGGCACTGTGCTGGAGAATGCGCAGACCCAGGTTGCCTCGGTGACCTGTTGCTTGGCACCTTTTTGGCGGTTTCAAGATGTTGAAACAGATCCTGGGCGGATCTTCCTGGGCCCATCACTTTGGCATCCCTGATGGGGGCGCTGCGCTACACGTCCCCACCGCAGCGTCTGAGGCTCCAAGACCGAGCCGCCGAGCTTCGATTTGCCGCCGAGCTGAAACGGAAGCGACCGAGAGTCCACCCTGGCCCGTCGTGGCACCACCGGTCATGCCAACATGAAATGAGGTGACAAGTGAATCTTTCGGGAAAAAACCATCTGATGATATAACTGGTCCATTCAATGTGTAAAAGTTCTTAATTCACTTATTCCATGTCTTTTGCTGGCGGCTTCCTTGTGCTCCAATGCCTCTCCCAATCTGAGGGGCGCAACCTTGCGAAGTGGTGTAACTTCCGTCTTTGACTGGGTGCCCTCCGTCTCAGAGTGGCTGAGCCTCGGCCGCACAGCTTTGCAGTTGTTGATCCCCTCTCAGAGTCCCGCCATGTCCCGCCTCCCTTTTCAATTAGCCGCCTCTCTCAGATCGGTGAATTCGATCTCGGAGAGACATGAAACCCTGTGAGACCGGTGGATGCCCTACACATCCCTACACTATCTAAAGCACAGCACATCTGGAGTTCATTGCGTGTGGAAAATGGCGAGCTTCGTAGCCTTCTACCATCTCCTACCTACCCGAACTTGAGAGGGCCATTCACGTCAAGTGACTCCAGGCCACGCAAAATCCAAAGTTACTGTAGGTCAGAGTGAACCAATGACAGTTCATGTAAATCATAGCATCATGTGGCGATATTGCGCCTGCTAAAGGGCTGTATATAAGTTATGTATAAGTGCCGCAGTTAGGATGACAAACACAGGCCAAGGCGGCCAAGGCCTCAAAGAAACTTAGACCCAAAAGGGAAGTCGTAGCTCAAGTGCGGGGATCAATCGTGCGGCCAAGACCAAGGCAGCGTAGGTGTTGCTTGTTCATTGTTCCAGCAACTGATACTTATCAGTCAAGGGATCAAACCACCAGCGCTGGAAGTTCCAAGCCAATCAAAGAGCTAAGGCATCACCATTCACGGGTGCTTTTCTTCCTGGCTTTACTGCTGCTTTTGCTGCTGCTCATCTGGGCCGCAATGGTTTATGGCCCCAGGCCTGTTGCTTGTGATTGCCCTTTAGCCTTCGTCCCTAAAGAATCCCCAGAATTGATATGACTCAGACCTGTTCAGGGTTGTCTCCCGTCCTGCAAGTTAAAGGGGTAGATGATCCCACAGTTGGTATATGTTGGATTATGTTGGTATGCCGCTTTCCCCCTGCTCTGTTACCTGGGAACATATGGTAACACCAGTCCAGCTGCTTCCCCTTGCAGGGGCTATCAAAAACTGACTGGCCCTGATCAGCGCACTTTTCGCCGGACTCTTGCTCAGCGCTTGGGGCCTAGGCACAGCGGCTTACGTTGAGAGTTTGACTCCAGGTGCTTTTGTCTCACAGTCGGAAAGCCCCGAAGCCAAGCATGCATGCTTTCAATTTTCTTCGCTGGTGCTAGACCGTGCTGTTTTGATACAATTTGAGGGCACACACTTGCCCTTTCAGAACTTGGACCTTGATGGACCTTGGATGTTTGAGTTCTCCATCTCCAAGGCTTTGAATCACGATCAGCTCGCATAGAAAGAGTCAAGTCTCGTGTCGAGCACCTTTACTGCACTGGCTTGGCTGATGAGACATGGACATGTTTTCCTTCTGTGTTTAGTGCAAGTTGAACTGGAGAAAGAGCAAAAGAAGCTCCCAGTGCTTTTCTTTTATATGTTTCGTGGACTCATTCCAAAGAATGAGTGGAACTTTGCTTTTTGATGTGTCTTTTGTTGCCTCTTGAATACTGAAGTAATTTCAGTTTGGTGGCCACCGGCTTTCGACCGTTCTTTGATCTCATCAGCTTGTTGGTTGGGTTTGTTTTCTTTATAGTGATATAATATACTGTACACAGTTTTTCAGTCATGGAGTCATGGACTAGTCTCAGTAATCATACACACTAGGTGTGTAGATGTGTGTGTGTGTGATCTGAATCCTTTCCTGTGTGGTGCCACCCTATGAATGGATACACGAGGAAATACGCGGGGCGCACCTTCGAGATGGTGATGGCTGCTGAGCCTGACTACGAGGCTGGTCAGATGCATTTGGGTAGAAACTTCAGAAGCTGGGCTGCTGGAGATGGGTGGTAGGACCTTGCGGCGACGACCAAACGCCGTTTAGGACACTGAGTTGCAGTACTACGTGAAGGTTCTGAACCGTTGCAAGGGCCACGCCAAGGCCAGGGCATGAAAGTACAGCCAAGATTCGGAGAGCAGATGGGCCACTGTGGTGGTCTTCCAGCGTGGGCCAGTCCAAACCACATCCCAATGATGGGCAGACAAAGGTCACAGTGACTCATAATGTAGACTCTTGATTGATCACCCCCCAAATAACAAGGGGGTGTTTGTGACTGACCTTTGTGGATTCAGTGAGCGTCCCCTATTGAAGAGGTTTTTGATCCATGTCTGGGGTGAGTTTCATGAATTCGAGAATCATTCAGACCACGTCAGATGGCCCCGAGGTCCTTTGCGGCTCACCCTGGGGTCCATTTCATACTCCTGGCGATTGTGAGCTTTGCAAGCGACGCCACTTGGATTTCAACATTCCGATGCGATGCGCTCTCGTTCTTCATCCGATGGATTTTGTGATCGGAAGAAGGTGTTGGATTTTGAAAGTTCTGGAACTGAGCAGTTTTGTTTCCTTGAGGTGTCTGAGGATAATCAAATTCTGCACATCTGTACATCCACAATCATCCACACACACTTTTGGTGCTCCAGAGATTCTCATGTAATCAATTAAGACAAGAGTTGCCATGGAGTCCGTGGAAGCTAAGGTATAGATTGCGCAGAAAAGGGCTGCCAGTGCGCGCAGGGAGGGCACCGTTTGTGCTGGAATTGCATGCACCACGCCTGCATTGACGGCGGGTTATCACTGCACCAACTAGTTCATTTGTGCCCTGTGTAGTCAAACAGAGACGACACGTGTGGGAGATTAGTCACCTTCTGGCCCAGGGTGACCATCATCAATTGGGAGCTGCTGCGCCGCAATGGATGGGTGTCAGAGCTTTCTTTCTTTACAGTCGAAGCCGCCCAAACAGTATATATATATATATTTGTATGCATGGAAAGAGTGGAGCACTAACAGGCCCAACAGTCACCTTGGTGGCCAAGGTCATTATCTTCACAAGAAGGGCAACATTCATGGACCTGGTCAATAAAAGATTGGCGTCTCGACGCACCAAATACCGCCGAAGAGCGCGCCGACCGGTCCGGAATGGTCCGGACCGTCTGACAAGGAGCCAAGAGGCGCATGGGAGACATCCATGTGCACTGTCCTGCTTTCAGCGCGAGCTCAGGCTATAACAACAGCTTTGCAGGCCGGAGGGGCTCCACCAATCAGTTCCGGCCTAGCATGACGAATCCACCGTTCAGACTCTTCAGGTAGAACACCCATGAGTCGCTTGTGAGTCCTTCCCGACCTGAACTGCCTGGCTCTTGGCCCAAGTGATTGCGCCAGGCTGACTCTCCATTTTTCGCCCTGACCCAATGCATCGAATTGGTGAATTCCTCGACTTTTGAGCCATCAAAAACTGCAAAGACTTAAGGAAGCCCCATGAACACATATACATTCGACCTTTGTGTTTGAATTTGTTGACTCCACCAGGTAGTCGAATGTCAAAAAAAGGCTGGGATAACGTGCCCGCTAGCTCCAAAGTGGCTAGCAAGGTTTCTGAGCTTCAATCTGAAGGTTCAGGTGCAGATTTGCCAGAATTGTGGGGCTGCCAGCTAGGGCTATAGGCTACAACTATAACCTTCAACGGAATAGAATGTGGACCACCCGGAAACCCCTCCTTATGCCAGGGACACTGAACGGTCACCAGTTTTGCACACACTTGAAGCTCTTGGACGTCTCACCCACAAGTATGTCTTGGCAGACGAACGCCCCTTCAGATGTCCTGATGAGTATGCCACATGTTTTCCGGCTGTTTGATACACCTGTACGTCGGTCTGCCAGTGATCGCCAGCGACATGCACAGTTGTTGTTGTGTCACCTTTTTTTGTGACCAAAGTCGTGCACATGAATGCTGCCTAGAACAGCTTTGCACCCTAGACCCGGCATGAATGGCAAAAAATGACAGAAACCGAGCGTCGCATCTACGCCACGACCATGGGCAGACAACCGGCGGAAGTTGCCCAAACAACATCCTGGACTTGTCACTTCGAAAGCCGAACACGGTCTCGGTGACATGGGCGGTGAGTGTCCTCACAGATCCCCCTGCTGACCAAGGTCTTCACAAGCGGCCCTGCAAAAGGCGTCAGACGGTAGTGACAGCATGATAAAAGCAAGAGTTGGCAGATACTGCCTACTGCCTATTCAGCCTATTCATTGCTGTATGTAAATGGACCAGAATGCAAGTCAAAAATGGGTTGGCTTTGTTTCCAACGAGTAAACGATACACGCCATGAGTAGATGCTTCTTTTGTTCAATGGCCTATGTCTCTTGTTCATGGCTCGTTTTATTCAATTTATTTGGAAGATTTCTGGTGGGACCAGCCCTTGCAAGATCTCGTCAAATCACCATCTTTGAAAGGGAAGCATACCGGTTCACAGCCTGGGGTTGGCCGACCTATACTATATATTTACCTATTGATGAATGTGCCGTTATGGCCGCTGTGGCCTCGGGCGAGCTTTTTGACTTGGGCTGCCTGGCGGCACTGCCGCAGCTGCTGCAGACACTTGGTTGAGCTGGAGTTATTGATGGAAGACGGTATAGGAAACACACTCGCAACACACAACGCATAACACACACACCACACGCACACACACACAACACATGATACAAACTGTTTTGGGAGATCCAGGTGGTGCAGCATTTCTCCAGCATTCGAAGCTCTTTGTATCCTTTTGGCCTTTCTCTTGAGGTGGTTTAACTTTACACATTGTTTGAAACCCCCGGCTTCGACCTCGTGGAAGACTTGCCCCCCCGTCGAAGGACCGCCTTTGAGCTCGCTCACCTGGGCTGTTGCTCACGCCTGCTCTGGGGCCTTTGCTCAGCAGAGCTCCAGCGAAGATCACGAGAGGCGCCGGCCGCGCATCGTTTCGGAGGCGCCGGCCGCGCATGGTGAGCGATTGGTGGGTTCGGTGTGAGCCGATCGGTGAGTTCCGATGAGGTGTAAGTCCGGACAATCGAAGAAGGATATTCTTAGTAACTTCTGAGTCACAGTGATGGGTGGCTTCTACAAACCAGCATATGCAAGTGCAGCATTGCAAGAGAAAGATTATGAAACATTTCCCCAAAGGTGTTTGTCCTAGCACCCGAGACATTGTTTTGGGAAGGATCTAGATTTTAGATTCATCATCAGGTTTACCCGTAGAACATGGTCGTGAGATGCTTCTGCCAGTCCATCCACGTTGCGTGGGGTGATGACGTGGGTGACTCCCAGTGCCTTAGTTGCAGAAGCTGCAAATCATGATGGTGTCCGTGGTGTGTGGCTGTCAGCATTCGAGTCCCAGTCCTTTCCTTTGCGCGTTTTTAATAGTGCATCTCGTTTGATACAGCTTATGCATTGTGTATCATTGCGTCAGTTGACCTCAGCTTCCAAGACAAGCCACAGTGAATGGCTGGAAAGAACATGCAAGTGGCTCAGACAAGTGGCGGAAAATCATCAGACAAGTGGCTCCTTAGCACCACTGTATGTGAATACGGCTTCAAACCACGACACATGTTAAGCTATTCAGCATTGCTTCTACATGACCTTGGCCATTGGAGCACTTGAAACGGGAGCGACGAACATGGGGCAGCGCCATGTCGTGGAGGCTTCTTGCCGAGGAGTGCCGAAGAGCTGAAGTCAATGCCTTGGAGACCAATCTGCAAACCGATTGACCGCACACCCGAATCTGGATGCCCCCATCATGGCCTCCAGGGTTTGGGGCCACACATACCACGAACATGGGTTAGGCCGTCCCAAAGAGCTACACTTGGGGTTGGTTTGATCATGATATACCGTTGGGGATCCGGCTGTTCAGTTCATGTAATATCATGCAACGTGGACCACCGGAAAGCAAATCCCCTACGAAAGGTGGGGCATGGTGGGGCCATGATCGAATGTCATTATATATATATTTTTTTTTCATGTATGTTCGTCTAAGACCCTCAATGGAACTGCCCAGCAGCATTCTTAGTTCTACCTCCTGTGGCGAAGCTTGCCCCTTGAAAGCCAGCCTGCACCTCTTCGTCAAGCATTGCCTTGGAGTCTGCGTTGGAGCTAGATAGATATCATTCTTTTTAGAGGGGTTTTCACTGGAAGTCATATTGGACGATATATCTGGCATGGCATGTACCTTTTCGGGTCGCCCAGAAACCATTTTCATCCATTTTCTAAACATGCTTGGACTCCCAGCATTTTTACTCAGGAATGGAAGCTCCGAGAGACTCGGCGCCGGCATATTGATGAGCTGGCACGCTTGAGTGAAAGCTCATCCGGACGGGGAAGTCAATGGACCTTGGTCGGCACGGTCGGCGCCGGCACGGCATCTTCTTGTGGCAGCATTTACGAAATCTCGCCCGAATTTCGTGGTGGTGGAGCTGGTAGCATCTTGGATTCAAATCGAATTTGGGATTCAAGCCACGAAGTGAATGGGCCAGTTCTCGTGAGCTGCAGAAGAGATTGCGGTGCTCACCGGATACGTCTCTGGGTGGAGGATCGGGCGACCATGGGAAGTGCCAGGGTTCATGCCTTAGACGAGGCAACTGGTGCAAAGATGTACCGAGATATCCCTGATGCTGCCCTCTCTCGCTTGCTTGCAGCTTTCAAGCGTGCCCCCAGCTGTGACCCAGATGATGTTGATGACTTCTTACGTGCAATGCTGGCCGCATGCAGGATAAGGATGTTTCCAGGTGGGATTGATGTGATTTTGCCCTCAGAGGAAGATTTGCAGCCTGCAGCAAAACCAGCTCCTTTGAATTTGCGTGTGATGCAGCACATCTCTGCGATGGCTACGGGGCGAAGGCCAATCAGCTCACAGCAGCCAAGCAGCCCAAGCAGCCCTGTGAAGGTTCCTTTTACCAAATCGACGCCTTGCGTCGCTGTTGTCCCTCCATTTGGAGTTGCCCCGGTGATGCCTGTAGCAGCCGCACATGCACCGGCCGGTCACCGGCACACCGTGATGCAGTCCCGGCCTCCGCGACCATCGAAGCCACCGGGCCGTCCACCAGCGACGCCACGAAGAGCCTCCGTGCGTCGGGTACGACCCCAAAGTGCTCCACATACAGGACGAACGGAGGAGCCCAGGAGCTCTGAGGCGATGGAAGCCAAAGCCAAAGCCGATAGCCATGGCATTCCAATGCCTCAAGGAGCCTCCCTGGGATTTCGAGGTCGGAGGGCACGACCCACTTCAGCCAAAGCACTGAAGCACCGACGTGTGGTGGATGATAGTGTTGACAGCATTATTTATGAGGATGATGAGGAAGAGCAGGAGGAAATGAAGTGGCCAAGCTATGCAGGTGGCTGTGAGACTCAACCGAGTGGTGAGACCTCAGCACAAGATGATGAGCCGCATGGCGTCCTGCATGGCATCGAGGCTCGAAACGAGGAATCTCCAGGTGTCCGACAAACTCCTTCCGTCGCTCCTTGCCTTGCACCATGCCTTTCTCCTCCACTGACGGGACTGACGGGCAAACTTCCTGCACGTGAGCCTGACCAGCTCGTGGAGCCGAGCATGGGTGCCTGGGCCGAGCATAGGACTTCCAGCTGTTTGGGGACCCCGTCCTACATGTACAGTAATTACTTTTGGAATCCTTTGGAGAGAGCATTGCGCTCACACACGCGGAACACCCAAGAAGAATGACCACTCAATGTAATACCGTACCCTGTACAATGTCCAAACGAAGCTTTGACCACGGCTTTTGCCCCCCTTCTCAGTGCAGTGAGAGCACACAATGGCATTGAAATTGCATGCAGATGAGGTACGGGAACTCCAAGTCATAAGCAATTGGTAGTATGAATGGGCAATCGATGTAGAAAGCCGCTGTGGTCGGGCTAGCCCATAGACCGTTATAGACCATCTGAAATAAGTCAAATCAAGACTCTGACTCCCTGGTTATTGGTTGTTTTTTTGGGATTTTGGTTGGCCTCCAATGCGCAATTTCAAAAAGATACTTTGGCATTTAGAGGTCGAGCTTCTTACAGGAGTGTGTCCTTAAAGCTTTAAAGCTGCAGAGCCGCACAAAAGCACACTTGGGTTGGGCGGAACAACCACATGTGCAGGTCAGGGGGGGTTGAACCCCTGCTTTCAGACTAAGATGACTAAGCAAGATGCTCAAAACCTAGCGACTGTTGCCCCATCATTGAGGTGACTTTGGCGCGAAGCAATCTGAGCCCGATCTCAATCCCACTGAGATGGCTCCATCGCTTTGTGATTCTGAAGCTTCGGATTTGCCAGAGAACCAAGCAGAGGATGGCCCTGTGCACATGTTCGTCCCCAACTTGCACATTGAGGATTTCACGGCGTTAGGCGCTTTGAAGCCTCCTTTGGGTGCTTTAGAGCCTCGAAACGGTCGACCGTCTACACCACCTCCACGGCCAGAAAAGTCCAATGTCTCATAGTTAGGGAATGCGCACACTCGGGATGTCCAAATGAGAATGTGAGATAGAATGAACAATATCACTATGCCTGCGTAATGGTTGCAAGTGATTGTGCCTGCTGTGTGCGCATGATGAATCGCCAACCACTTTTTGGCGTTGTTTCACTCTTTTGTGCCAGGTGGCTTAGAACATCGGTCGCCTGGCCTCTCACCCGATGGTTCTCAGGTCCAACATTGCCCATGGGTCCGACTGATACCGACTGGTGTTGTGGTTAGCCAGGGAGCTGAGAAAGTCAGAATGCCTTGCCACTAGCGTAGCTACTAGCGTAGCTGCCAAAAACAGTGCAGACAAAAGATGCGGCCGTGGCAAAGCTTAGATGGCACAAGTTGGAGAAGCCTTTTAAAGTACTGATAGATAATATAATATTATACGATATGATGTCCAAGGTTCTTCTGACATCATTATGTCCAAGGTCTTATATCATAGTATTTAGAAGCTGATGTCCATTCTCTTCGCATCTCCCCAACTCTCATAAGCTCACAGGTTCTCCTGGTGACTAGGGTAACTTGACGTGTCTTCACGCATGGCCCTTCTAACAGTTAAGGACGGGATCAGCTGGTCTGAAGTCTCTCCTACAATCGGAGCCCTGACTGAAGGTTGCAGGTTGCGGTCTGGGGATTGTTTGCGTGGACTGAGGCACTCATTCTTTGGTTTGGATGTCATGTTGTTGGTGGTTGGACTCAGGCTGGACCTGCAGAACGCTGGTCCAGGAGTATCACATTGATATGACATGTGTTCTACTCCGTGTCACGTTGTTCCAAGGACCTCCTTGCATTGGCAGCTCATTATGCAGGGGGTTGGTCTGCTTTGCTGGCGGGGCGGCATGGGCTGTTGGATACATCTTTGCCAAAGGCAGGCCAGCGGACACGGCTGCACGGGCAGTGGCCGCTTCAACGTGCATAATGCTTCAAGGTACTCATGCAGTTAAAATCAATGTTCACATATAGCCTAGCTGCATCGCCGATATATATAATCTAATCTACTAGGTGCCCTTGCTCCTGGCCAGCGGCGGCCGTTTTCCGCGCAGGTCGGAAGACAGGCTGGAACTTCAGACACTGGGCGCAATGGTTGAATCGGCGGTGGGGTCGTGGCAACATGTGGCACCCTGGTCAACCCTGTCGTTCACCAAAATGGCTATTCCATGGAGGCTTATATATCCATGGCTCCAGAGGTTTCGACGGACATATATTAACCCCCACCCAAAAGCACGTACTCCACTCATCTCCACTCCCAAACACACCCCAATCCTCGAAGCAGGGAACATGAGTGCCCTGACCCAGGCCGCTGTGCACCGGTCGCTTCTCCTGTGGGATATCGTGAGAGAAGGCCGCTCGGTGGAAGGTCTTCGTGACTTAAACCGGGCTCAACGTTTGAAAGTATGGGATGGGAGAGGTGGTCTTTTTGTCTTCAATACATAGTTTTCGATAATATTCAAAACTACTATATATTATATATATAGTGATTATATAGTGAAGTAATCTAAAGTCAAAGCTGTCACAAAAAGTATACATATATAGACAAACGCATAATTGGTATCTGAGGTGACTGAGGCTTTCCCCACTCTTCAAAGTCTCAACCTAAAGTTTTTTGATGATTGGAAGGAGCCAGAGGTTGCAACGAACAGTAGGAGGTTTAATTCATTGCAGGGATTCATTGAATGTCCGAGTTTCAATTGTTTGTGTTGTTGGTTGCCATTCTTGTGGAAATTTGTTTTCAACATTTTGAGGGACCTTTGGGATTTCTGGGTGCAAGATCAGCACCAACGGCAAACTGCGCTATCAACTAGACTGGTTTAGGGTTCCAGAAGGACGAGCTCAGAGACACAGTGGCATGCTGCAAGAAAAGCCAAACCAGAAGCATCCAGAAGCAAAACTGGATTCTTAGACATTTACACGAGAATAGAATAGAACAAATGGTCGAAATGAAATGGCACGCACTGTCAGATGACAGAGTCTGCACAACACGACAAAGAAGATGTAGAAACAACAAAGATGGCCGCTGTGGGACTTTACATCGTTGCGGTCACCGGGTCCAAGAGGTTGGCAGCGACAGGTGATGGCACGCTGTGGACGGGAATTCTTCCACTGGCTGTGTTCTTGCGACGCAGTGCCTTTGAGGCCTGGAAAGTGGATGGACTAAAGGGACATGTTTCAGCACTAGTTGGCGTAGAGTCCCCAATTGAGCAGACAGAATGGTTTCGATTGGACTTCAGCACTAGCAGGCATGTCAACCTACAAGCTATTGGGACTGGACAAGATTCCATGGAGCACAGAGGCTGTCAAAGGTCTTGCAGAATGTGCAGCTGGCGGCCAGCGTAGACTTGGAAAACCATTGATGCAGATTGGTTCATATTGGGCCATGAAGGACCATGGTGCACGAAAGGGTGGGGTGAAACTGTCGGCCAAGTGAGGATTCGGATGGGGAGAGCGTCCCATGCACCTACATCTATCCGCAAAGCGTCCACTTTCCGGGATCCAATCACACTTTTGAACACAAAGCTGGACGTCAACGGCATCCCAAGTTCCAGACTCGTGGCAGCAACCATATTGGGACGATGTGATGAAGGTTGGCACTCGCATTTGGGGGTTTGGTTGATGGCCGGGGCGTGTTTTATATAGTAGGCTACTAGGCCTGTCAAGAGGAGGCGCATGTTTGGTTTTTGCAATTGTGGTGTGGTCGAGGCAGCCATCGATATAATTGTTCAAATGTAGCTAGAAAGCACTCCCTTCCCATTTCTGATCTAGAATCTATATGTAATATATTGTAATATTATGTATATAATAATTATACAGTAGTCGTAGCAGTCGCAGCAGCAGCAGGAGGAGGAGGAGCAGTAGCAGTAGCAGTAGCAGTAGCAGCAGCAGCAGCAGCAGGAGGAGGAGGAGGAGTGCCGAATGGTTTTTGGCGGAAGACGTGGCCAAATGTAATTGGATTTCACTTGATATGATTTGATCTACCTTAGCGCTGGACAGACGTCCCCTCAGATCGCCCCAGTCTCCTTCCATGTTCCCAGGATTTCGGCGTCCACCTTGGACCACCGCAACTGGTGGCATCGACTGTCTCTCTTGGGACCGAACTGTACTGAGACTCAGATTGCAAAAGTTGGTGCCCTGGCATGATCGAAATCACTGTGTGCCGTTTCTGCATGAATTTCTATCATATAAAGACTGGGACTAAAGATGGACGAAAGCAGTGGCATGGGATGGTTGGACTTTTGAGTTTCTTTCTTCGGGATGTTGAGTAGAACCTTCTCTGTCAGGTTTCATTCCAGATCGATTTGCGCAGCACGGCGGCTCGCCAGTGGATCCCAGCTTGCCAGATCCCTCGGAAATTGTCACGGCAGTACTTTGGAAGGGAAATTGAGATCATTTTGAGTTCAATTCGCTGCCATGCTATGCCATGCTAGATCTTTCTGGCCCATGCAACACGTTTTTGCGATTTATGTGGTCGTGTGGAATCGGTGGTGGCATGGAAGACAGAGATTTGCTGAGGTGGACAAAATGGGACAGGCCGTTCCAGGCCTGTGTGACACAGTTTTTCGGGTTTCACCTCCTACTTAGTCTGAGAATGGCATGTTCATCAACGACCAAGACCACACAAAGACCTCAGTGGGCTGAGTGTTTCAGTACGTTGAGAACTTATAGCAGTAGAACATTGCTTAAGTATGCTTAAGTATCTCGATGTTGATGCAATCATAGTTTGGCAACACAGGGAAGAAGGTGGCAGGCAGATTCTTTGCATTGCCGTGTCATCATGTATCAGGCGGCATCGGTGACATACACGTGTAGGAAGGAATCCTGGAAATCGAGGGAGGCGTCGCAGCTTGTTTGTATGAGATCGTTCTCAGTCCCTCCATTTCCTGGTTCTTCATTCTTCACTTTCCTGGCTTATTGTCTTGCAGAAGAACTCATACTGCAAGAGTCCGCAAGCGGGAGGGGAGTTCATGCTTCTGAGAACGTCGATGACGAACCCATCCTTTTTCATCCACTCGCGTCGTGGGTTGTGACACTTGCAGGTCAGACCACATCAGCCCGCAGAACTGCGTTGGTCTCGATGTTTGTTTTAAGAGGTTTGCCTTGAAAGATCTTTTTGGTGTTTGCAATGTCCTTTTTGAATCTTTTTGAGTGTTTTCATGACGGTTACTTCGGAGACCCTCTATATTATATATATATGCTTTGCACATGTCGGGACATTTGCATTGCAGTAGAATGCAGTAGATCCCAAATTGGTGCACCACAACCAAAAAACACACACACACCTCGGCAGGCCACACACCGAAGAGCACCGACGCACCGGTGAACGCAGGTGTTTATCGATTGACCTTTGACTCCTTCTACGAGGAGCGGAGCCGATGGGGCCACAAGTCGGTCTTCGTCCTGCATCTCTGGATTGAAACTCGGAGTTCGCGGGCGACGTGCGGGTGAAGGCTCCCCGGGGCAGGGATTTTCCCTGTGCGGAGTCTAACATTATAGGGATGGGATGCCCCAATGCTGCTTGAAGAGCTCAAAAACACCAATATAATTAGAATGTTGACGTGGTTTTTGTATATTGTCAAGGACCTCAGACCACTCACAAGCGGTTTAAGGCTGCAAAACGACAGGGGTTAAAGATGAGCAGCAATTGTGGATCATGAGGACAGCAGGCAACAGGTCTGCCATGCGGACCTAGACTTTGCGGTGGAGGATGTTGCCTGGGCGGCTTGGTTGGCAGCTGGTCGAAGATCGCCCAAAGCTCTTCCGCAGAGCGCCAAGCGCCACGCGGCAAAAGGTTAGTGATTGAGGGGCACTGGGTCAAAAGAAATGAGCAGAGATGTGAAATGCCTCTGCCCAAGACCCCGCTTCCTCCCGGTCCCTGCTCATTGGCTTATCCCTCGTGAAAATTTGAGGGCATCGTTCTTGGGTACCGTACATGTTGCTTTCTCGGAGCTATTTGAAAGAGCGGCCGAACACACCCAAACATGCCAGTTTTGGAAATACTCGTATTCCTGTCAACTCAAAAATGCTGTAAGAAAATGCACTGTAGTGGGTAAGGTAGAACTACTGTAACTGTATTTGTGAGGATATGGTTTAATATAGAAAGAATGGTCCTTTGTTTTTCCTCATGCAGCTTTGCCATGAGGGGATCTCAATTCTTGCGTAGAAACGATCCTGAGCCAAGATGATTTCCGGATGCTGGGCTGAGGAAATTCTGCTTGTCTCCCTTTGTCTCCCTTTGTTTGGCTTTGTCCTTCTTTGTCTCCAGATCTCTTCTGGATGCTGGGCTGAGATTATTCTGCTTTGTTTCCATTTGTCTCCCGTTTCTCTTCTGGATGCTGGGCTGAGATTATTCTGCTTAGTCTCCCTTAGTCTCCCATCGTTCTTCTGGACGCTGTGCTGAGATGATTCTGTCTCCCATCTCTTTTCTGGATGCTGGGCTGAGGTGATTCTGCCTTGTTTCCCATCTCTCTTCTGTAAGCTGGGCTGAGATGATCCTGAATGTCTCCTTTTAACTTTCAAGATTAGCCTGTGAAAAGAACAAGCTGCCGCTGCTTTTTGGGGTCGATGCTGGTGTAATTGAGGCTGCTCAAAATTAGTGTTGTGTTGCTTTATTGCTACGTCTCCTGCCTGTCCACCTTCAAGCAGCACCGGGAACCAGCTGGGCTTACCGTAGTCTTACCACAAGATGCCAAGTTGCTAGAATAGCTGCATTTTCATCTCACATGTCGTCAGAGTAGTTTCCAATATTTCTGTCAGTAATGAGGGGGCAACCCACTGGAAGAAATAAATGCTCACGCAAGCACCTACGACATATTTGCCTCACCCAGATTGAAGAGCACAGTCGCAAAGCCTGGAAAACTGTCTACATGGAGGCAACATGAGGCAACTATGAAGATAACACAGATATATAACTATTTGCAAACTTGTCCTCTAGATGAAGCGCCACTAACCTGAGCTAGAAAGAAACTTGACAAGCAGACTAAGCAAGCTGTCAAAAGCAACGTCTTGTGTTGACTTCTGTTCGTTTGGATCCTTCGCCTTATGGGAACCAAGGCAAGCGTCCACGGGCCTGAAACCGAAGGACCACCTCAAGCTGCTCACTACATGCTGCGCATGGAGATGACACGAGAACCTTGTCGCGAGCGGCACCTGAGCCCTCTGAACCCCAGTTGCAGCTCCAGTTGCATTTTGTGAAAAGATTGTGCCGGCAGGAAGGGTTGCAAGTTCGCAATCGCAATCCATTTCATTGTCCCCAGACAATGAGAAAGAACCTGCTCCACTCTTTCCCAGACGACGTCGTGGCTTTGATCCCTGGCCTGGAACGAGTTGAAAGAGCGTCTGATGCGTCGTCACCACGGCCTTTTGTGGCGCCTTCCGGACGATGCGGCCCGGAAAAGATGGGCATTGCGCATGGCTGTATTGGCAAATAGGCATCGGCCTCGCTTGCTTTGGCTATCTTCAGCCTTCGACCAGGCGGTCGCAAGCAAGAAAAAGGATTCTGCAGCCACTTGACGTTTGACACCAGGTCGGTCACATGGAGAGGTCCTGCAATAGGCAGGACCCTCCAACAAGGATAGCACAGCCAACCACCGCCTTGCTACTATCCATCAACATACCTCACCAACCATCCAACAGTCAGACAGCCAACTCGCACACATTCCAGGCTGAGGCTCTACGCTCTGGGGGATGCCAATCGTTTCACCTCAGGAGCCGCGCGTATTTGGACCGCCGAAGCGAAGGCGGTACTTGGCACGGGTGGGTTGGATTGGGTTGGGGACCTTGCTGGAGAAGCTGCTTCGTCGTGGACGAATCGATCTAATATGATCTAATGAGCGACGGGATTTTTGAGACATGGGATAGACCGATGGCCATCGGACACCGTTGGTGACTTGACACTGCGCCGAAATCAGATGTGCCGACACATTCATCAGGACACAACTGCAGTTGCAGCGCAACGAGTCTTCCGATACTTGCATCGGGCAGGCAAAGATTCGCACACAAAAGAAGTCAGCAAAGCGACAGGAGCAAACTCATATATAATCATATATATATATATATATACGTAAAAGATCGTGAAAAAAACGCTAGACAGGATATTGCAAGGCTTCAATGTCCTTTGTACTGATCCTGTTGTCCTTTGTCAATCCGCGGGCCCCCAAAGCCACTCGCTAAATATATGATTCTTGCTTTTGGTCTGACATTTGCTGTGCCGCACGTCAGCCAGCAATGTAGGTGGCTCCGCCAACCTGCATTACGTCACTGGAAAGACCTGCACTCAGAACGGGGTTGCAATGTTTTTCCTAGTTCCCTTTGGTTTGGTTTCGGGGCCAAGCTGGTGGCTGTCAGTAGTCATGGTGGTTATATCGGTAGCTTGTAGTACTCATTTAGCGTCTAATGAAGGTTATATTGGGACTTGGAGAGGCCTTGAAGCGTTTTGGACCCATTTATGAGAATGGTCTTGGAATGTCTTGGACCTTGTTCTTGCCAGTGTTGTCATCAGGTATGGATGCAAGAAGACGACCTTGTTGGAATTTGTGGGCCTTGCAAAGTTCGGAGAACCGGGTTTGCGGTTTGCAGTGTTGATGATGTTGAGCAAGTGAACTCTCCCCAACTCTACTCTACTCCTTGGTTAGGGATGAATAGACAGCAGAAAGGAGGGTTATCAGGATGATGGCCAGTTGTCGGGATCATCCAAACTCCAAACTGCAAGTGCATTCTTTTGCTTCAGCATGACTAGTTTTGTAGCATTATAGGCCATTCACCGCTGTCTACCCCGACCCCAACAGGGTGCCAGAGGTTTGTCGATTTGAAGGCTCTTCTGAAATCCGCCCTGTTGCTGCGGCCAGGAAGGTGGCACAATCTTCGAAGCTGAAGGAGATCTCCTAAAGCTCAAAGGCGAACAGACCGACGGGATGGGAATATATGGGAATCACATAAAAGTGAAGTACACTGCTGCCAACATCGTTACAGATGTGTTGCGGTCATGCGCAGCATAGATCATTGAACATGCAGGATGTGCTGACAGTCAAAGACGAGCAAAAAAACGGACACAGTCCAGCGGTGTTTTCTGACAACACTTCCCAGCTGGGACTGCTTAAGAGGAGGGCCCCATGGAACGGCTGGGCGAACGGTGCGTGGGAATGCGACTGCGGAAGGGCTTCGCTGTCCAAATCGGCAGGTGGAGCGCTGGCTGTTGCAGCAGCTGCTGCAGCAGTATGACTCTCAAACTGCACAGGTTTGCTGGACTCCAAACTTGCCATGACTTCTACTGTGCGTTTACCTTTGCCTTTCGATATCTTTTGGTTCTCTTGATGATGCTAGCATGATGTTTGACCATGTTGACCCAATCATATAGCAAGTCATGCCTTCTGGATCCTGGGAAGCTCAGGCTGGCCGGGTCACCAGGAAAGTGGGGCGCCGGAAATCTCCCCAGCACCTGCTGACGAAAGCAGGTTTTGCCACCAAGGAGGCTCTGAAAGTAAGCAGTTCCATTGGCAGATTTGTGCTCTAGATCTGTCAGAGGCGAGAGGACCACTATACGCACTACACACATATATGTATATATTTTTCTATATATATATATTTACACACTTGCTGTTTGCGAGGACTCTTGTGGTAAGCCAAACTCCGTGACATCACCATAGAAGGAAGCGGAAGAACAACCAAAAGTGGAGTGAGTTAGCTGATTCAGCTATATACATTCAATGGAACTGTCACAGACTCGACCCTGCCTGCTGATTCCGTGCCGACCGACCTTTCACAGGACACGGCCAGATATCTGCAGAGACGCATTGAGGGTCTCCTCATGACCGCTGGCGATGGCGTCTTGCAGTTCAAGGCCCAGACCAGACGCTTAAGCGGCGCCCCTTTGGGCCGCACCGAGAAAGACCCGGGAGTAGCCATGATAGACTGTAACTGCACGGCATGCGTGTGCATGTTTTGATGTTCAAAGCTGGGTGCAAACTGATTGCAAGCACTGTGTTTATTAAGACATGTTAAAAAGCTATTGTTGGTCCCCAGTCAGCTCACCAGTACCGTGGAGTGCAACTGAATAACTATTTTCAACTAGCTGCACGCATGCATATATATATATATATCTATATGATACCCCCCAAAAAAAATGACAATCCAAAGTCATATTTCGCTTTTATTTACAGTAAACATTGTTTTTTTTGGTACAATTTAATGGGTCTGAGTAATCCGGTCCACCTATTAAAGAACACGGGGTCGCCCCCCCAAGAAGGAAACCTCGGTCGCATTTGTTTTAAATAGGGGGTCCCTGAAATCGGGGTGGTCCAAAATAGGGTAACCTGGGAAGGGCTTCAAAACCAAAAAGTCACCCAGGACAATTTTATATAACATCATTTATTAAAACCTCCAGATCGAAGGTCTTCCTTTTCCCCCTACAAAACCATACAAAACCTTTATTAGAATATATATTCTTCATTAGACTAAAAACACGACGTGTCATGGTGGATAGACAGGGTGGACAGAGGTGGGTAGTTACGGTTGTTAATTATTGGGGAACCTAATTTTAAAAAAGCTCCTCCAAAATCGGCAATGTTGGTAGTTTAGTAGCGGCTTGAAAGGGCGGCAATTTAAAAACGCATATAAAACGTATTTAGGGGTTTCCGACATGACTTTGTTTAAATAGGGGTCCGTCTTTAAATAGGTACTCGGGATTACACATTGAACAAAGGAGACAACAACAAGAACAAAGAGTTTGTCTTAAGTCTCAACTCTGAACTCAAGTTTGAACTCAAGTCTGAGTAACGTAGGGATCCAAGAGAAAACTTTTTGGATCCAGCCCAGAAATCTTGGATCCAACTACCTCACCTGGATCCAAGATTTTTTCCACCTGGATCCAAGAAAAGTCACTTTTAGGTCCTGGGATTGGACAATAGTCCGCCGCTACTAGGGTGGCTAGAAAGGAAAGGTTTGGTGGCTGTGAAGAGGCGGCAAATGCACCAACCACTTAAGCCACAGGGAGCCCAAGCTGATGACATGCACAAAGTGTATGTCGTTCTGAGCTTACATATGCTAAAAGAGATATGTGGCTGGAACATTCCAAAAGATGCTCCAGGGCAACTTACAAGGAGCAAACATATAGGTAAGATACAACCTTTAACAGCTTTCTAGACAGTTTCCTGTACACTCTTTGGTGGTAGACCCTTGCTGGTACCCCCTAACAATTCCCATCGCCGTCACGTGCTTGTTCTTTTTTCCGGGGGGCTGGGCCCAAAGGCTATACCAGTCAATATGTTGTGCTACGCTGCTGCCCTGTATGATTTGTATGTTTCTGTTGGAGTTTTGCCTGAGCAGTGAGTTAGCTGAGCACGCTTTCCGAACCAGCCAGCCTGGCCTAAGAGGCTGTGCTCCGGGCGCTGGCCTTGCAACCTTCGCATGCGTCACTGGCCCAAGATTACCTCTCTCTAGTCCATATATACCTATTTCTGATTCCACATGCCCCGTCAAGCAGGTGAAGCTTCCACTCCCAAGGTTGAAGCGGTGGCTTCCGAAAGTGGGGCTGCGATCATCTGCGAATGGCGACTTGTGGGTTGCGATCTGAGAAGCACATGTCCCACATCTTTCCCGCGAACCACCGAGTTTCGTTTAGACCCTCTCTCTCACTGTAAATCAGTATAATATTCTCTATATATTGATGCCGATATGCCTTCCCGCCCTCGGCTTCTGCTTTTCGCATTGTTTCCCGCTTTCAGCCTGACCAGCCGAGCGCACATGACCTGGAGGTTGATCCATACAGATTGCGTGGGGCTGAGAATCTGCAGAGCATGGGGAGCATGTCCTTCCTTAGAGCATGTTGGATTTGAACCATCAGATACAACATCATCCATGTATATCTGTATATCCATGCAACACGTCCCATGTTTCGTGTCCTTCTCAGGTTTTCCTTCCGCATGTACCGCATCTTGGAAGCCGCGTCTGCTCGGGCACTTGGCGTTTCTATTCACCTTTGCTTCACCACGTTCCGGGTGTCACGCTCGTCACGCTCGGGTTCGTCTCTGAGTTCGTCAGTGAGCAGAATGGCGAGGCACGCGCATGTTTTCCCCCGTTGGGGGGCGCATGTGAGCGGTTGTGTTGAGATGAGGATGGCCCAATCAACAATTAATGAATCAACTTACAGTAGTGTTGCATTACAAGGGAGTTCTGTTCCAGTTCGGATTACGGGGCCTTGCTCGGGCTGACAGTTCCTGGTAAACAATTAGATACAATTAGTAACCAAACGCAACCAGAGTCTTGTAGAGTGAGCAAGTCGGGCACACTTCCACAAAACAGTCCTGGGCAGAACATGATCACATGTAGTTGACAGCTCCAGGAACCATCAAGGCATCACATGGAATCAAGATCTTAAAATGAGGACTGCGTACTCGAAGACGTCAGGACTCGACTCTCTAATTCCAATGTATCTATATTCTCCAGGTTGAAGTGGTCATTGGAGAAGATTCGTTTTGTACTCTTAAAGCATAAGGCTTCCCGGATTGGACAAAGGGCGTTACAAACAAGCACGAAACTCAATTCAATTCCAGATCTTTGTTTTTGTTTTGTAAACGATAAGTTTTGGGGGATGATGTAGAGCAAATCTCAGACACGTGTCCAAGCTTTGAGGTGTCGTTTTGTGTTTCTACGTTGTGTATTCTTTCAGAAGCGGGTCGTAGCAGTCGTAGTCAATTTGTATGTTGTTACTTAAGGCATTGTCCCCAATAGCTAGATAGTTGAGTGTTGACTTCCGTGCAAGATGCGGGACAGTAGGGTTTGGACATACAATTCCTCACAGTCCAAATCTTCGTGCTTGGTGTCCGTGGTCGCTTCGGTGTTCACGCGGCAGGTCTCACTGCAAGATCTCATGGAGCATCTCTACAGGTGGCAGTGGCGCAGACCATTCCATGTCTTTGCGACGGAACCGCTGTGAGAAAGTCCGAACCCACGTCAGGCCTCCTGAACTCTTGAAGGACGAGGAACATGAGCTCACAGTGTACCACCCAGGAATCCCATGAATCACTACGGACGTGTGCGCAGGGAGTGCAGAAACCTTTCCACACTTGTTCGATCGAAAAGATGTTGGCGTTTGCAAACTCATCGAGGCAGAAGCTCGAGCTGTTGTCGTTGCCCCAAGAAGGGAGTTTCGGAGTCTTGCCTGTGGATTTGCGTGGCAAGTTGCGTTTGCCTCACAACGAGGGACCGCCCACACATGGTCCACACCCAGCGAAATTCCAGTGGATGAACCATGATGGAACCGTTTCTTCTTCCCGTCGTGTTCTTCTTCCCATCGTCCTAAACTCTTCAGCAAAGCCAGGCCGAGGGACTTGACTCGAGCCGACTCGACTCTAGCCTTGACCTTTCAACTTGGCCCAGGCCTTCGACATGGGTCTAGCTCCAAGTCCTTCAGTGGAAGAATGGCGTTTGGAAGCGCGAGACCGTTACTGGCGGAAGGCGAGGGGGTTCGAGAGGGCCGGGGCAGAGGGGCAGGAGTGAGTGGTGGCCTACGGCCTACTCGTTTGGTAGGTGTTCAATGTTTTTCGCAGAGCAGTCATCAACGACATCATATAACATCGAATTAACATCTAAACATCGTACAGTAGTTAGGATATCAACTTCTCAACAATTGAAGCATTTACACAATTGAGTCAGTGGAAGCAAGACACCTTTGCAACACACCCACTTCAAATGAAAGTCAGATCCCGTTTGCCACATGACATATCATAATTTCACGCCCGCCAATGCCCACAGCAGCCCACAAGCAATGTCTCCATAGCTAGCAGCTAGCCACCTGGGTTTCTGCCTCGACCAACCCGTTTCACCTCGCTTCACCAACTCAGCTGGCAGGGCGAAGCATCTCTACCGGCCTTGCCGCCTCCCAGGGAGACGGTGGCTCGCTCCCCAGATGCGTTGGACCTGATTGGGCGCCCCGGACAAGGTTCCATCCTTGGGGGAAGGGCATTGCAGCGGATTTTGTTTGCTGGGGATACGTGGAAGAATGAGTAGTTGCTACTTGTAGCAGCTTCTTCACGTTTTCTCTAGAAACAGCTGGTGGTCGGCATCGACTGACACATCATCTCGGTGTGAAACACACCTCCCACTCAGGAGTTCCGAGAGGGGACCCTCGCCCTTGAGTCTGAGATGGATCGTGCAGAATTGTCCACAGAGGCAGTGATGCTGTGGCCACTGCGGGCAAAGTATTAGTCCGCGAGTGAGTGAGTGTGATCAAGTGGTGCTGGTGCGTTGGAGGTTCTTCTTCAATTCAAGCCTTTCGTTCTGCTTTTTTTGTCTTTCAGTCTTTCTGTTGCCTCCCTTCCTTTCTGCCTGCCGGCCTTCCTTCCCGTGCTTGCTAGAAGGCCGGATTGGAACCGATGCTCTATGATATTCAGAAAGGACGCCAAAAAGACGACACGCCGACGAACGACTTGTCTGGAAAACACGCAGAGACGCGCGCGCTTTGCTTCCCCCAAATGGCTACCGTGGAGGCCGTGAAGTTCGAGATTGTTTTGGCCGAAAAGCAAGTGGAGCCGCCCTTGTGGTTGGAGGCACGCTTGGGCCTCACAGGCCTTCACAGGGACCTCGCCCGGATGCGTTGCTTTCGGGCTGCATGACCTGCAGCCTGGGTGCCATGATGAGTGCCACATGCCCTGCCCCAGGCTTGGATTCGTGAATACTTTGTAGTGGTTGGGTGCTCAGCAATCGAACACTGAACACCGTTCTCATGGGCTTGATGGTCGGGAAGCAGCAGATTGCAGGGTATAATATTTGGGGTGTGGACCACAGCTTTTGGGAAAACAACATCCTATATGTAAACATGCCAAACTTGGATTGGCCGGCCAGCATTTATCAATTAAGGCATTCAGGAACTTCAGGAACCCATTTTTTAAGAGGTTGTAGGGCCTTGTGATCGAAGCAGCGAACTTCGGGCTCACTCACCTCTAAGTTTGGTGTTCTTTGCAAGGAAATCAACCATGGAAGGGTCAAGCAGAATTAGAAGAAATGAACCATGATGTGAATGTGAGACCGGCCGTGGGCACATGAAGCAAAAGAACTCCGTCTTCGGGTGATATGACCAAGTAGCCGCAGAAGCTGACAGCTAGCCAATCGCTAGTCAATTTCTCGCCAAACTGCCATGTTCGGAACCTGGTCCATTGTTGTCTACGGCACTTGCAAATTATTCGATCTGAGGAGGAGGACAAAGTCTTTCTGCCATTCCTTGAGCCCTGGCGGAAGCCCGTGCCACGAGATCCAGACCTCGAGCCAGTAGAGGTGAGCCATGTGCAGCAGGAGGCCTTGCCAGGAGCCCAAGTGGTTAACTTCGGTGGAGCTCGAATGAAAATACTTAGGTCAGGTTCCTCAACCCAAGACATTGGCAGCAAGTCCGCAATGGCAAGCCTAATTTAATTGCATCTACTTGCTACTATGATTGCTAGTGTGAAAACCAAGTTGCATTCATGTCATGATCAGCTTTGTTTCATGGAAACCTGCGGTTGAGACATGTCGGACCCCGCCAACCTTCGGTTGGCTCAAGCCTTGCCTGTGAAAAGGCACGTTCTTGGGCCGCTTAAGACCAGTTTCAACACTGGCAGCGGAGCCCCACCGTGGGCATCCGACCTTTAGGTTCCGCTCCTTGCCATGTCGGCCTTGCTGGAGACGCTCCGTTATGATGGAGCACAAAGCACCACCCTGGCGGCGAGCCAGGACACCTTCGACTCTGAAGGCAAGTTCGGGATCCCTCGCTTCTCAGGCGAGCCAGCTCAGCTACCAGAGTACGCCTTCCGCGTCCAGATGAGGATGCTGCGCGAGAAAGGAATGGAAGAGAGCGAGCTGAAGAAAGTTGGGCCCCTGGGCATCAGGCTTGTTGAGGGACTTCGTGGACAAGCCCTTCGCCTTGCCCAGCAGCTGAAGCCTGAGATCTAGCAAGGCAGTCAGGCCCTGAGACACTCCTGAAGCTGTTCAACGACACCCTGAAGCCAAGAGCATCCCAAGAGGCACGCGAACTCTACAGTGCCGGGTCGAAAGAAGGCGGCATGCTCAGTCGCCAGTCTGGCGAATCTATGTCAAGCTACATCACCAGAAGAAGGTCCTGGTGGATTGCTTTGAAAGGCCTAGATAGTGCCGTCGCCATCCCGGACGTGATCCTCGCACAGCAACTTCTGACAAATGCTCAAATCTCTGGAGATCAGAGATTGATGGTGCGAACAATGCTTCAAGGCACCCTGACCTTCGACACGGTTGCCTCTGAGTTGATAGCACAGCACCCGAGGATCCATGAGTTCGAGAAGCAGCGTGGCGGAAAAGGCTATGGGAATCACTCACGCCCATGGTCACGACCTCAAGGACATCAACATCGCCACAACAAACCCTTCCGGAGCTACTTGGCTGAAGATGCAGATGAATGGGAAAGTCAGGACCTCACTGGCTTTGATGAAGCTGAAGAGGATCAAACTGCCTACTTCCAGGACACTGAGACCGTTGTTGAGGAAGATGCTGAGGTCTACCTGGAAGAGCACATGTGCTTTCTCATCGAGAATGGCATGGACATTGACAACGAAGAAGCATGTGCCTTGGCAGCTGAAAACCTCCAGCTTGAGTATGAGGCCTACAACGTGAGGCAGCACGCCTCTGGAAAGGGTCATGGTGGCTTTCACCAAGCCCGTCAGTTTGATGTTTCTGGACAGCTCTCATTCCAGGAACGAAAGGCCCGTTTGATGCAGCTGAAGTCAAAGACCGAATGCCGTCGTTGCCATCAGAAAGGTCATTGGTCTGGTGATCCACAATGTCCCAAAGGATCACGAAAAGGCAGCGGCAAGTTCTCTGGGAGGTCACCGAGCACTTCATCGACTTCACCGCCTTCTACCTCCAAGAGTGGAAAAGGCAAAAGCTCTGGGAAGCACAAACCCAGAGTGGTCTACTTCAGCATGAAAGAACATGAGGATGTCCCCGATCCAGGAACAGAGAAAGCATGGTGTGGTATGGCCCTCAAGGAAGATCCACGAGGCCGTGGAGTCTGCATACCACCACCTTCAAGCTTGCAGAGTCCTTCACGATCCACTGCACCTCCGACTACCAGTCCGCCTACGGGACTTCGTGCTAAGGCAGCACCAACTCAGCCCGCTGTGCATGATGCTATGGCATTGAGTATGACCCGGGTGCCTCAACTTCCTTTTGGAGTTCCACGTAACGATTCAGCTCAAGTTGAATTGCAAGATGCTGGCACCGAGGCCTTAGTTGAGAGGTCTTTGCATTTGGCTCCCTCAGAGCTTCGTGGCCGTCCGCTCACCCAGGATGAGATGGATGAACAAGCGCTACATGCGGCTTTGCACATGGTCGCAGACATGGAGGCCATGGAGGTGGAATCTGAAGGCTATGAGCCCAGCATCTATGATCCAAGTTTGATGTCTTTTGAACTTGTACCTCATGCACCTGGGCCCTCCTCTGGATATGGTCAGAGCGGCATTCCGCCAAAAGCACCAAGTGTTCCTCCGCTACCACAACGTCATCAAGGCCCTGAATGTGAACACAAGAAGACAACCAAAAAGGGCACAAACAAGTACTACACGATGGTATCATGTGTGGACTGTGGTGCGATCTTGGAGAAGACCAGAAAGCCAGAGACTTCAACTCCGGCAAAGTCAGCACCACCACCTCTGCCAGCAACGGCAGAACAAGAGCTATGTCCTCACCATCGCATTTCATGGAACAAATGGCTTCCAGACGCGACAAACTTGTCTGGATTGCGGCTTTGTCAGGATTGGCCGCCCAAAGTCAGCGCCAGCTCCTTCGAGATACTCATCCTCAGCAGAAGGAGACCTTCCTTTGAGTTTCACTCCTCAAATGGCCCAAGCAGTCTTCCGCATGAGCAGCATGATGGCCCTCATCAAGCACAACGAGACCGGTGAGAACCTTACAAGTGAAGATTTGTCTCGTCTTTTGCGAGGTGCCATGCTCTCCATTGTGAATTGGCCGCCAGAGGATAGTTTCACTGATTCCAATGCACAGGCAACCTTTTCTCCAGGTCCTCGACCCTCCTGCACTGGTACTCCACCAGCTTCTACTGCCGCTTCGCCTGTACCAACACCAGATCGAGGCACTGCTCGCGACAGTCGTCATGTCAAGATCTTGAACTTCGGCCGCTACAAGGGCCAAAGCTATGAGAAGGCCTACCAGGACGCCTCCTATGTCAACTGGGTGTTGGGCGAGTTGAACGAAGACTCAAATCCCATCTTCATGCATTTGGGTCGCTACTTTGAGGACCGGCGCATGGCAGAAAGAAGCAACACCGCTTTCATGGCAACCAAGACGATTGAGGTCTCAGACACTGAAGAGGATTTCCCTACTTCAGAGACGATCGCCTCCGAGACTGACCTCATCGCCATCTTGGATTCAGGCTGCAACAAAACATGTCATGGTGAACTTTGGCTCCGAAAGTATGCTGCAGCAGTTGGGCACTCCATTGATGAGTTTCCCATGAACCCTGAAACTGGCTCCTTTCGAGGCATTGGCGGCTCGGTCACTGTCCTCGGACTTCGCAGCTTGCAAGTCGGATTTGAGCTTGCTGACGGTGGCATCGCCATTGGAGACATCGACTCCACAGAACTGCAGGGCAGCTCAGCACCTCTCTTGCTCAGCATTGGTGATCAACGCAAACTTGGCCTTTGCATCGAGCTTGGCAACACTGAGTCTGTGTTCAGCCGAACCTTGAACTGCCAGCTCAAGATCGCCGAGATCAATGGACTTCTGGGACTTCGTCTACTACCATCTCACATCGCCATGATGTCCCAGATCTCAGATGCAGAAAGCACAGAGGCATCTTCAGAGACTTTGCAGCTTCCGGCAACACCATCTTCAAGGGAGACTGAATTCAACTTCAGTGTGGACACCGCGGACACTATGGTCCTGTCTCCCAAGTCGGAATCTGAAGACAATGCAACCACCGACAGCGAGTCAGTGGAGTTCTCTGAGAGCTATATCGCCCTGGATGAGGAGACCAACAAAACCATGACCAAGCAGCAAAAGAAGCAACTTGAAAAGGATCTTGCTGAAGTCAAAGCTCATGATCAGTGTCTTTGGAGCACTTTGAAGTCATCCAAAACTTCACGCCCACTGCCCAGAGGATGCCGCACCTTTCTTCTGGAAATCTTCCCTGGGGCAGCTCTTTTGACCAGCGTTGCAAATGGCATGGGCTATCCAGTCAGCACTCCGGTGGACATCGTCCTTGACGAAACCAACATCTTGGACCCTCGAGTGCGCCAGAAGTTGGATGAAGAGATTGAGCGAGATGATCCTTACATCATCACCTTTGCACCGATCTGCGGACCATGGAGCAGCTGGCAACGCCTGAACTGCAGCAGAAGTCCGGAAACCGCAGCAAAAGTTCTTGAAGAACGTGATCTGTGGTACCCAACTTTGAAGTGGGTGTGCAAGGTGATCAAAAGTCGACTGCAGAAAGGTCGCAAAGTTTTGGTTGAGAATCCCTGGTTCTCCGAGCTGTGGTCCGTCCTAAGCTTTGACAAGCTCATCCAGGAATCGCTTGTGGATGCTCATTCGAGGTGATCAATGTCAGTTTGGCCTAGCAGACCATGTCACCGGTTTTCCTCACCTCAAGCCCACAGGCTTCCTCACTGCCTCCGACACGGTGAAGCAAGAGCTTGCCAAGCGTTGTCCAGGAGATCATCTACATTCACCACTTGAAGGAGGACAACGGACCAAAAGAGCTCAAGTTTGGCCCAAAAGATTGTGTCAGGCCATCTTGAAGGGATTCATCAATGAGCTTGAAGAAAGAAGCCTGCACGCAGCTTTTGCAGGTGAGTTCTCAGCAGAGATGGAGGATGAACTACTTCAACCTCTTGGCAACTTCGACGCCATCTATGACGACAAGGACCTCGCCAAGAGCACAACCTTCGACCACAAAACTACTGAAGCAGAGCTTCAACGTTTGGAGTCACTTGAAGAACGACAAGATCTACCAGACTCCTCCGCCTTAGAGTCAACAAGGCGTGAAAAGTGGTTGAGAGCAAGCCGTTCTGTTCGTGTGGCCCTGAGAAGACTTCATACCATGTCAGGCCATTGCAGCAACTCCTCTCTACTCAGATGCTGAGAACAGCAGGAGCATCAAGTTCCACTATCGAAGCAGCTCGGCATTTTGCCTGCGAGACCTGCCGAAGACTCAACCTGTTCAGCCTTCGAATAAAGTCAAACCACCCAACAAGCCGACCTTCAACTTTGAGATCAGCTGTGACGCCTTTGAGATCAAGGATGCAGCCGGCAACCGCCACACTGTTCTCTCGGTGGTTGACTTGGGAACGGTGTTCCTCGCAGTCATGTCTGCGCCCAAGCTCTACGTGAAGGCTGGATTCAATGTGCAGGACCTCCAAAGTCATGCCTCCTTGACCGTGGCGTGCACAACCGAGGACGCTTCGTTGAACTCCTCAACGCCTACGGCATTGAGGTCCGCTTCGGTGGCCTTAAAGCTCCCTACCAATTGGGAAGAACTGAGCGACAAGGTGGAATCCTGAAAGACATCCTGAAGTCCGTCATTGAGGACAAACAGGTGATTGGCACAGAGGAGATCAAGATGGTGATCTCCGAGTCCGTGACCATCAAGAACAACCGTTTGCATCACCAAGGATTCACACCATCGCAATGGGTGCTTGGACGTCTGCCTCGTGAAGTTTGCTCACTCACAGCGGAAAATGATGATACTGAACACCGTGGAGTACAGCAAGGCATTGATGATCCTCTGGATGAGTTCTCCAAGCAACTCGAGATTAGACAGGCAGCAAAGCAAGCCTTTGTCCAAGCCGACTCTTCCAGAAGAATCAGAACAGCTTTGCTTCGCAAGTCAGTTCCACTACGTGGCCCCTATAAAGCTGGAGATTTGGTCAGCTTCCACCGCAAGGGCAAATGGTTTGGCCCAGGCCGCATCGTAGGAACTTCTGGAAGGGCAAACTTTTGGTTGGTCCATGGAGGAATACCGATCATCGTATCGGAAAGCCAAATCCGCCCTGCAACTCGATCCGAAGTACTCTCAAAGCAGCTTCTCGAACTACGACCATCTCGGAAGAGACGCAGGGAGGCCTTTGAAGAGCCTATGGATGATGCACCACCATTTTCTGAAGATCTTCAAGTACCAGCCCTTCAAGAGGCACAAGAAGACTTGCAACCTGGCTACATTGAACTGCCAGTTGAAGCAGGATCTGGGTCTTCACCATCTCCGGTGCCAGAGGCAACTTCGCCTGAAGAGCCAGAGACTCCGTTTGACCTACCTCATGAACTACCATCAGTACCAGAAGAAATGGCTCTTGATGATGAAGAAGAAGTACCTGTTCCTCCAGAGCCAGATCGGCAAGAATCAGGACAACCAGAATCGGAAGCATCACACCCGATGACAGTGCCATCCACTCCAATCATGGCTCCTTCCGTTGGCTCCACTTCTCTGCAGACAGCTCTGAACCGCTCAGTGGATCAACTGGACGGCTACCCACGTCCGGAAGTTCGACCTCCACCAGGTCTACTACCTGTCCGGGGAAGATCCCGATCGCCACTACGAGATCCACCTGTTCCTCTTGATGAACGTGGCCTGATGGCCATTGCAGCTGAAGAGAGACGCTACCATGGCTTCTTGGCCAAGCGCTTCAAGAAGAAGAAACGTCAGGTGGGCGCTCACAGGGAGATCAACTTCAACACCTGTGACCCAAAGACCAGAGCTGGGCTCATTTTGAGCAGAAAGAAAGAGTGGCGCAACTGGATGGACTTCACTGCTGTCCATGTGATCAAGCCCAAAGATGTCAAGGGCTACCTGCTGAAGAACCCGCACGTGAAGATTGTGCCAACCCGTTGGGTCGACTCCGACAAAAGTGAAGTTGGAGAAGAGTCACAACTGAAGTCAAGACTCGTTGTTCGTGGTGACTTAGAATGGCACCCAACCAAGTTGAGGACGGACAGCCCAACGTGTTCACAGCTCATAGTGAACATGATCCTGGCGCATGCAGCTTCAATGAACCTGCGAGTCAATGCTGGCGACATCAGTGCAGCATTCCTTCAAGGTGTGAAGATCAACCGCACCCTGGTTCTCTCACTGCCGTCTGGAGGTGTTCCAGATGAAGATGTGCCTGAAGGATCACTGCTTGTGGCCGAGAAATCCGTCTATGGCACGACCGACGCCCCAAGAGGATTTTGGAAGCGACTTCATGAAGTGCTTCTGCAATGCGGCTCAAAGCCAATTCCTTCAGAGGCTGCCGCCTACTACCTGCCAGGTCCCGAGAACGAGATCCAAGGTCTCTTGGCACCCACGTCGACGACATCCTATGGACTGGCAATGAACACATGGACAATGTCATGAGTTCTGTCCAGCAGCACTTCCGCTTCGGTAAGATTGAGGGCAATGAGTTCAAGTTCTGCGGTCGCTTGATCAAGCAGCAGGAGGATGGCACCCACCTTTCAAGTCCAAATGTCATGGACCGAGTCACACCGGTCTACATCCATCCTGATCGGCGAGCTCTTCGTGCCGAGCCAGCAGATGAAAAGGAGATCTCTCAGCTTCGCTCCGTGCTTGGAAGCATTTCATGGTTTGCCAGGACTTGCCGTCCGGATCTCTCCTTTGCTGTCAACCAGCTCCAGTCAGTGCAAGCAACTGCACGAATCCAAGACCTCATCGAGGCCAACAAGCTGTTGAACTTTGCCGTCAAGACCAAGGAGAAAGGCATGGTCTTTAGCAAGAATGGCCCAAAGCTCAATGAGTGTATGATACTCTCAGTGACTGATGCCAGTCACGGGTCGAGCTTCGAAGATCTTGGAGGAGGAAGACTGGGTGGCAACAGATCCCAATCTGGGAGGATCCTTGCTCTAGCCCCGAAGGACTTCATGACGGAGGGCAAGGGCACTGTGGCTTTGCTCTCTTGGTGTTCGACCACCATCAAGAGAGTGTGCAGGAGCACCATGCAAGCTGAGACTCTCAGCCTTCAGCTGGGGTTAGAAGAAGCAGAGCATCTTCGCCAGATCTTCTGCGAGGTCAAGAACCTGACCGATGGCAGCCGTGGAAAAGAAAGATTTGTGAAGGCATGCGATGCCATGGCAATCGGTTGGCTCACCGACTGCAAAAGCCTCTATGATCACCTCTTCACGCCCAGCATCAGTGAGGTGACGGACAAGCGCCTTGCCATTGACCTGACGGCTTTGCGTCAGGACGTTTGGCGAAAGCCAGGTGAAGAGACTGGAAACCCGAGCTTTGATGATGCTCCACCGGCTGATGGCACCACGACAGTGGCATGGGTTGACACCTCGACAGTGGTGTCTGATGGCCTCACCAAGAAGATGAAGAGCCCGCAGCTTGAGACGCTCACAAAGAGCGGATGGTTGGAAGTTAGCTTTGTAAAGCTTGCATCTTCCAGTTTCCATGAAAAGAAAAACAATGGGTGTGAAAACCAAGTTGCATTCATGTCATGATCAGCTTTGTTTCATGGAAACCTGCGGTTGAGACATGTCGGACCCCGCCAACCTTCGGTTGGTTCAAGCCTTGCCTGTGAAAAGGCGCGTTCTTTGGCCGCTTAAGACCAGTTTCAACACTAGTGTACGTACGCTACGGTGACAGCAGAGAGAGAGAGAGAGATCTAATTGATACAGTATACGGGCTGTGACAAATAGTCGGCGAGTGGTCGTGGGATTTCAGCATGCATGGCATGTTGTTCTGAAAATTCCATAGCACACTCCCCAAAAATGATAACGCGACCAGCGTGAAAACGATGATGCACTCACCAAATCCTGATGACCTGCAACCCCACGACAGTTCTTACCGTCACTCATATGGTAATCTATGATATACTGTATGCATGTGTGTGTGTGCTCCTGTTGTTCTGTCTCTGATGCTGTATGTTCCAGTTCTTCCAGTAGTTCATGGCTGCCAATCAGGCTCATGAACATCCAGGAGGCGTGGATCTCTGTTGCTTCTGGCACTGGACCATGGCATTTCATACAACACCCATCCAGCGCACTTGTTGGCCGGCGGCCCAGCGGGTAAAATCTAACAGTTTGTTTTCGATGGAGATCAAGCATCATGACTTTAAGATGACCAGCAGTGGACTCTGGGTGGACAATGATGGATTTCTCCCACACTCCTATCGACATCAATCAATGCATGCTATGGTGGAAAATGCTTGCTCAACTCACACGTCTGACGCCTCCCGCGCGGTTTGGCCAGAGGAGATGCGCTTGCGATATGGGCGGGTGCACATGGAAGCCTTGGGTCCCATGTTTCCTGGCGCCAGTACCCCAGCCCAAAAGACTGCCCCAGGCAGTGGAAGTTGCACGTCAAGCAATGGAATATGCCGAAGTTAACAAAGTTTTATCTACAGAACAAAGTGAATGCCTCCACGCATGCAAAAAGCGGGGTGCCTCGCTGTATTTGATGAGTGTTGGCAGTGTTGGAGTTTTTGTGATCCACCTCTCACTCTCCCGCTAGTTGACTGCCGGCATCAGGCGCGAAAACGCTGGTTGAAGCGCTTCTTCGACGTCGGGGGAACCTGATAAAGGGCTTTGCAAGGAAGAGTCCCTGATGCTCCAAGAACTTGATTTTCATGAAGTGCTTTTTATATTGTTTTATACTTGTATATCTGCCGAAGATCTCCGAGATCTCATCCAAAACTCCCACAAGATGGGAGAAATCCGTATCAATCTCTTTTGCTACAACCCTCGTTGGCATCCCTGTCCCGGTCTTCCTTGTCGCGGGAAAATTTGCCCTTGAACCCGTGGGAACTTGGTGTGAGCTTTGTAGACAGGCTTCTGGTCGGCATTCCGTCTACAGAAGCTCACACGTATTTGCGCACCAGAGCTGTTGCAGGATTCTGCTACCCCAATCCAAGCACGCAACGTTGTCAGAATTTCCTCCCTTCGCTGCCTCCCTGCTACCCCAGCTTCTGGTTGACTAGCCTAGAGTCTTACGGCCTGTGCCCATGGTCAACTCCAGTGCTTGTGGCTTTAAACCTGCCCAAGCTTGCAGTCTCCGTCCTGTCTAGTCACTTCTTGCTTGAAATTGAGGAAGACCAATGAGTTACATTCATTGGCCACAGGTTCCTCGCATGATTCCTGCATTCTATTCACCTTGTGGATGTGTGCATGACAAGCATATAAGTCTCATCCTTTATCTAGTCTGTGTTTGATGGAGTTTGCCCAGTCGGCACTCCTGTTGCCGCATGTTTTGTTCACTCTTCTTGACCGGCTGAAGGATTCGCAAGGGCCCAATGACCTCCTGTTGAACCACAACTGAGCCGCTCTAAAAACCTGCCTTTACATCTTAAGTAAGGACCTTGTCATATCGAATTCCGCGTAAGCAAAACCCTGGGTTGCGTAAGACTGCGTAAGCATTTCGCGTAAGCATTTCGGAAGTTTGCTCTGCGTAAGCAAAAGTGAGGGCCGCGTAAGCAGCGCGTAAGGCCTCGCGCAAGGAAAGTGATACGACATAGGGAGTGACTGCAGGTTTTTAGAGTGGCTCAACTGAACCAACATCGTTTTTGCGGAACTGCTTTGCAGCAAACGGCATCACCTGTGACATTTCCAAGATCACGTCCTACGGGGATGTCGTTGAGAAGAGTGTGGCACGCCAGTCTCGTGAGGCAGCGCTTATAGACGATGCGAAAATGAGACTCCTTCCAGATGTCACATGGAGATGTTTTATTGTATTAGATGTAGTAGTTTGTTATGAAAACCTCTGCATTTCTCTGAAACTATGTGACTACTTATGCCGCACCTTTTTCCATGGCCAGATCTCACCTGAAAGCTTACATTTTACACTCAGCTTGATTGATGGGGGCTGCTTGGTGACTGGTGTTTGGTGTCCAGGCCATAGCTGTAGCCTCCCGCATCTACTACGAAGGCCTTTCGCAGCAAACAGCTTGTCATGACATGTTTTTGGGACCCAAGAAGCCCGTAGACTTCCAGGTTACACCGTGACGGAAGCCTTCTATGACTTTGGCATCGGCAGAGAGTGGCTGAGGCCGGTCGTGTGCTCCAAACAGCTGTGTGTCCTATTTGTCGACTAGTCAAGTAGTTGATTCTGACAGTTCCTTGACTTCAAAGCTTCAAAGCCAAGCTGTGTCCCAAGTCTGGTGCACCCTGTCTTTGGATTCACAATGCTTTGTATGATGACTTAATGACTTGCTTGGTTACCTGGTTACCTTTGAGGGTGTTCGAAAAACACTGACATCGAGACTCAAACATCTCAACCATTCCCAGTGAACCTGAAGGTGCGGGAAGACCCTCAGACCCTTTGAGCTTTTGGGGATGCCAAGTCCGTTCCTAGTCGCAATTGTTTAGAGCCTTCAAAGTGAAGCCTCCAGTTCCTGGAGCATCAATCAAGCTATCTTAGGGCGGTGGGCACCAAGTCTTGGAGCCGAATAATGTATAGGCTGTTGATGACTAAAGAATCCCATATATAGAGATGCTTTCTAAGTCTTGGGGGGGTGTTTATTTGTAACAACAGTCGACAGCATTACAATACAACCCCGCTTGCTGCATGCAAACTTTTAGTCAGTGTTGACTTTTTAATTCAGTGCAGAGTTGTGGACAGGCGCTACTTCATTTTGAATGAAGAGACTGGTGAGCTAGGCCTGACACTTGGCAAGTTGCACCACCAAATGGACCCATCTAATCTCCGAAGGTCCTGGTCTATGTTTCTTCATGTCCTGGTATTTTGACAGGCTTAGACCGTGAGCGCTACTCGTCCTGGGACCCTCCTCCGAAGGACCGTGCGCATCGTTCCTCAGTAGTTCGAGGTTGATCAGCTTCGTCGGTATGATGTCTTCGAACATCTTCGAACAATTTCAATTTGAGTTTCATGAAGTTGGTCCAAGTCTATAGTTGTACCAGGCATGGGACTTGACGCTGGGAATGGCACGGGGAGAAATTGGCTGGTTTTTGTGCCCGTCAGGATCCAGAAGCTCCGAACCCTCGCATCTACTCGAAGCAGGAGTCTCAGAATGCTCTTTTCCTCAGGGCCGAGGGGGCAGAGATGTTCTTGTTCATCGTGTCGCCTTCCAGTAGTTCGTTGTTGGTGCTAGCGATGTTCTGGGGTAGCAGTGGGCCACTCAAGTGGATGTGTTATGTTTCATTTTGATTCAATGCCATACCTTCCAGCAAGGAAGAAATGGGAAGACCAAGACTTAAATTCAAAATGATTCCATGAGAAGCCTAGTTGCTACTTGAACGCAAGACGAATCCACACTTTCAGTATTCTGTTTTGGCGTTTTCCTAGGATTCAACGGGAGTCAAAGCAAATCAATACGAAGCCAATTGAACTTGGACATTCTGGATGCAGCTTCAATGTTAAACTACACTTCATGCTGAGAGAACGCAGAAGCTTCTAACGAGGAACATATGATGTAATTTACATATATATACCAACAGTATGCACACAGAAGATCACAGAAGTATATGATATGTGTTCTGAAGACATTGACAACATGAGCTTCAAAGGGTTTGGCTTTGGTATTGGTTTCATTTCCGTGTCACAGGTTTGTTTCCTTTGTGGCACTTCTAATGTTATCTATTTCATATTTGCAATTGGTCAGACACAGCGGCACAGTCAAAAATAAAGTTCAATAGTTCTGTTTCTTCGGTTTGGTTCCCTCGTTTGTGTTTCCAGATTGAAATAGATCCTTCTCCCCTCTACTCGGTCGGTCGCCGCCCGGGTCGGATCAGGTTGGATGCTCCGAGGCGCAGCGGTGTTATGCCGTGTGTTGACCGTTGGATCCCCCCGCTTTCGCCGCAGGGGATACCAGCGGAAAGGCTTCAGGCATCGCAAGAGGCAAGAGATCAAAGCTGATCTAAGGGGTCGTTGTGAGAGAATCAGCACATTTGCAGATGGAGGGAGCTTGATCTGATTCTAACATCAAGTATTCAACATCCGTTTGGCAACATGCACAGGAAATATGGGCACAGTGCTGGTGGCATTATCTATGCAAATCCAAGACAGAAATGAACCGGACGCCCTTCGTCATTGTGCCAAAAAATGCGGTGCCAGAGGTGGAACGAGAGCGTCTCAGAATGCTTTCCAGAGAGTCCTGCTCACAAAAATGCGAGTAAACACATTGTACTTTGTGACTTGGTTTGCTGTTCTCACCCCCTGCAGCTGACAGTTTCAAGCAGTAAAGCATAAAGAGGTCACTGTGAATATTATACTATAGTCCTATGGATAGTCAACATATGTCAACACGTTTGCATTGCTTCGGGATGTTTAGGGCGGTTTGGGGTTATACTCTAGACTTAGAGAAATGACTTGACACTCTGGACACACACATGCATGTGGGTCTTCACTCTGTTTTGCACGGTTTTTGGCAATGGTGACAATTCCTTTGTCATGTGTACATTCCTCTATTTCCGATTAGGTACCATGTCATCCTGGATTGTAATTTCAATCCTGTTTGGGAGGGCCCCATGTCATTTGCACAGTATACATGTATATATATATACATAATTTCGAAAAGGACGTGAGAGCACCTCTTTTCATTGAGACATGTTCAAGCACCAAGCTGACTGTCAGCTCGGCGTCTTAGCTTCCAGCAGTTCATGTGGATATCCCCTTGCTACCCAATTTCAAGCCATTTCAGCCTTAGCCATGCCGCATGACGGGGCCCAGCCCGGCCGTGCTGAGAAAGGCAAGAACTGGAATACCATGCAATGCGGCAAAGTGTATCTCTGTGATTCCTCAGCCAAACGTCTTAGGTGTTTGTTCATTTTGTTCACTCATGATTTATTTATTTTCAACACTATGCGGAACACACACACACACACATGTATTCATATACTGTACATAGATTGACATAGATGTTGTGTGTGTATGTAATATGATGTAATATGTATATAACGCGCGGATTTTAAGGTGACCTTAAGTGTTTTTTGTCTACTGCTCAGCCTCCAAGCAGCATGTCGTCCGAATGCCCCACCATGTCGTCACTAGGCATGTGGCTGTGGGTCAATCCTCCAGGACCCTAGTTGCAACACATGGACACATGCTGCTGGCTACGTCAACCCACGCAGTTTTTGGGTTGTTCTGTGCTGTTCCGTTCATGTTCGGCAGGTGGCCGAGACTTCAGATGTCGACACGCTGAAGGTGCTGCTTGCAGGAACAGATGCCTCGGACTTGTTGAGTCAAGTGGTGGCTGCCTCAGCAACCAAACACCAAAACTTGTGTAGCGTGGGATTCCCAGATTTGTATAATTTTGTATACTTTGTATGATGCAATGATGCATGCAAGTGTTTGAGGATTCAGCTGGCCAAAGCGCTCTCCATTTGGCTGTCAGAGCAGTCCCTACTGATGAGGTAGCAGCTACAGTGGCTTGGATGTTCAAGAATATTCCTGACTCAGACCTCGCACATGATACACACAGGCACACATACACACACCCTCTCTTTCTCTCCTTTGCTGTTCTTTACGCTCAGAAAAGCTAGGAAGGCTTTTTTGACCCTGGGAGCCGCATGACCTGGGAAGCTTGGTGTTGAGAAGATCGTGCCATCATTATTTATTAGTATTATATATAGTTGCTATAGTAATTGCAACACTCACGGATTTTTTGTATGCGTTAAGGTTATTGGCACCTAACATGTGTTTCACACTCCACACTGGAGCTCATATTTGCACGGTGCTCGCAGGTCTCAACACTCATCGCTTCCAGAGCGCGATTGGAACAAGCGAACGCCCGAGGGGAGACACTTGGCGTTCGATTTGCCCGGCGTGCGAACGGTCAGCGGTTGAATGTGTGTCATTGAATCATTTCGCATTCTTTCGCAGACCACAGATCCGGATCCATGGGCATAGAATGGCATAGATTTCAGATTGCTGGAGACAAGACGGGTCGGGGGTTGGAACGGCCACTGGGCGACCAAAATTCGTTGGGTGGAGCCATAGTTATGTGGAACCTACAGGACATGGAGAACTAAAATGCAATCGCATTTCCGGTTTGCAGCACGGAGCTATATATTGATCTATAGGCTTATCACTTTCAACCTGCAACCATCAACATGACTGGATTGGATTTGCAACTGCAGCGAAGGACCCCGCTCATATTGGCGGTTCGCACAGCTTTGGCTGCAGCGGTTCCGGATGGTCCATGGCTACTGCCCATTCAGCTGATATTGGAGGCGATGGGGGCACTTTTCAGCAGGTAAATGGTTGCGTTTTCCGTTTGCCTGTTTGGTGCTAACATTTTGTTATAGTAGAATGCCCTTGCGGTGAAGCCTTGCTCGGTTGAAGCTGCAAAGGCCAAAGCCAGAGCGTGCGAGGCTTGGTTGCATCAATGTTTGCCAGAGGCATCCACAAGCAGTGCGTTTGGCTGTGGGTCTTGACTTGACCAAACTTCAGCATCCCCAATCAGACCTCTATTTTTGGGGATTCTTCAGAGCAAAGTGGAGATGTTGGGGAGGGCTATGCGCTTGTTGACCCACACCACACGCAAGCATCGTTCCATGTTTGAAGTCCTCTCGCAGGCCTTCTTTCATTTGGTTTTGCACTAAGGCAGCTGACCGACAAGGCCGTTCATCCTTGTCCTATGCTGCCAGTGCTGGCAGTGCCTCAACGGAGGATTTCGAGATACAATCTCACGAATACGGCGAAACTCATGAGTATGTTGCTTTCTCCTTGTTTATTCATGGCCTTTTTAGATGGTGTGGAGGTGAATGATGAGATATGATTGGGCTTCAGGATTCGTTTTTCATTTTATCTCGTTGGTTCGCCCGCCAAGGCCTTTCAATTTGCCGCATGCTTTTGACCTTCCGTGCGGATCCAACCCAAGCCAACTCCTTTGGAGCAACGCCACAAAGTTTGGCAGAGCGACAAGGCAGGCTGTGTGTCCGACCTGAATGGCATGAGTTGTGTTCCTCTTTTTGTATATGTAGGACTCAGATCTGCCAGGATTATTGACAGCATATGATATACTGCAGCAATTACTGCCGTCAGCAGGACGAGCTTCATTCTGCGTCGGCCTTGGCGACCTGAGGTCATGCCGAAGTCACCAAGCTTCTGGCTGAGGCCTAACTCACTGACGCATGACTGTCAGAGCCGAGAGGCACCAGTGCCCCCTACTGTAGCACACTGCCAGGTAGCTTCAACAGCCTCCAAGCCTGCAAAGAAAGCGAGTGACGAGGCCAAGGGCGCGAAGACTGCAAAGTGGCAGACAAAGAAGGAAGAACAAGGAAGTCAAGAGAGGCAAGGGGCAAAAGTGCACCCCACGGGCCAGATTCCTGTCACTAAGCTGCAACTTAGTGCGAGTCAAGGTGCTGTGGTTGATCGTGACATGCGACATGCGCTTGGTGAGCAAATACTGTGATCCATCTCAACAGTATCCGCTATTCAGACTATTCATGATTGAGAAATGAAATGCACTGAATTTCACGTCGCTGAGGAATGGCGCCAGAGTGATGAGCAAACGTGACTCAGCTGCGTTTTGGAGCATGATAGGAATCAGGAATCCTTGCAGATTCTGCGAGACTCAAGTGAAACTTACAGGAAGGAAGTCAAACGCCTCGTTCAGAAGTGGAGCTCCGCATCTTTCCAGCAATTGATGTGCCTCACTTGCAGATATTGACTTCACATGACTTCACCCCCCTGGTTTTGCACTTGGGTGACCTGTCGTGAGCTCCTGATTCTAGAGTCTAAAAAAGGTCATTGGTGAGATATGGCAAGATGTTTTGTTCTTGATGTCAATGAGCGTGATGTCTTTGAGCGGGTGACCTTACGTCCTTGTCAGACATACTTGATGCGGCCCAAGCCCCTTATATAGTATCCTTAGGACCGTTAAGGCCGGGCCCCATTCTCCACAAGCCACCTTTTCCAGCTGCATTCTTTTCGGGGAAGGCGGGAAGGAATCACAGCATATAATACAGAAACGGACCTTAGGCCTGGGAAGGCTGTCCTTTTCCTAACTCGTGGTTTTTCGGTCCATGGACGGATGTCACAGCACAGCGTGATGCTGTGCACCAGGGTGCACCCAGTGAGTCCAACCCTGGGGATCCATGCTATGATGCTTACACTCCCTGGAATCATCATGGAAGCGGAAAAGGGGCTCTTGGAGGATTTTTCATCTACAAATAGGTGGCCGTCCACTTTCATGATTCCGGGGAGTGTGCCGTGCTTTGAACATCTATTATATAACATCTATTAACTACGTGTTTTGATTGAAGGGCCAAGGCGAAGGAGAGGCACCACAGAATCGAAGTGAGAGTGCCAACACATGTGAATCACCTCAACCTGTTCAAAGACAATGCCAAGCTTGAGCTTTGTGCGTTATGAATGCAGGGGATTCAACATGGGGCGCTTTGATCGGTTAACGCTGGCCACTGCGAATGTTGTTTCGCTTTCTCTCGATTCCAGGGGTTCCTTTGTTCCCATATCCTGAGCTCCGTGTGGGTCTTCTTAGCAGGAGCTGCTCGGCCTTGTCAGGCAAGAATGCAAGATGCAGCGCATCAATACGCAAGATGCATCACACGAGGACTGGACAAGGATGTGGGTGCAAGATGCCTGCCATTGGAGCATGTTTGGGAATGACGATGCGAGTTCCAAAAAGGGTGAATGGGCAGGAGTCCTGAAACGGCAAACTGTGGTGTGTTCGTGAAGAGACCCTCAGTGGGTCAAAGCCCACCTTGAGGGGCTCATTGAGGAGCTATGCCAGCGCTTGCTGCAGCTACATGCCTGGGAACGAATGTCAGATGAGGAGCTCAAGCAAAGCTGCTTTTCACGAGGCGGAAGGGGGAAGTCAAGGTGTCGGAGTGTAGGTAGCTCCTTTATAAAACGCCAGATTTTGTTGGTGTGCTTTTTAATTCCAACGACTTGCCGCCCGGTAAATCAATCAAAATCAATCAAGTGTGGGTGTGGCGCAGAATGCACCTGCAACCTGAGGTCACCTCACACCAGTATATAAGTGATATGTATATATATATATGTAGATATGAAGCTCATACAGTATATCCCAAAAATCACCGTCACCT